ACGGCATGGAATAACTGGGATGGGTTTATACACCCACCTCCCTCACTTCCTTTCGAGTCATTTGGTTGTTTTCAAATTCTCCACCCATCAAATCTGGTTCTTGTATGTTGTGTGTATGTCTCTGTGCTTGTGTGTATATGTGCTCAGCTGGCTCTGGGTAAGAATAAAATTAGCTAAGAACATAGGAAATTGTAACTGACAATTTTCGACCTATAAAAATGTTTTTTCCCCTCTATGGTTCAACACAGTAAAGTAAAACCCAGGTAGAGAAACCCTTTGTAAACTAATGCGTTGCCCACTGTTCCCAGTTCTGTAACTGTGCTTCTGGCGTCTCAATTTGGTCGGAGGCTGTCCTGAGACAACTTCACTGCTATACCCAGGGGGACAGAATGCAGGTTCATATGGTAGTTGATTTAAGACCCAAATAAAATTCAGGCAAGGACATGCCCTGGGGTTGGGTGATAACTGTGCTTCGGATTCTCTTAGTTGTTCACCAAATTCGTCTTGCACTTCCAGCACCTCCACCCCTGCCCTCTTCCCCACGGGTCAGTTACACTAGCGTTCCAGTGGCAGGAATTACACAGGACTCAGTCAAACCCTGGAAACAATTTCGGCACCTGCTGAATTTCGGGACGCTGCAGTGAGCCTGGAGGTCTGCCCCACCCTGAAGGACAGTGCTCACAGTGTCTTGGATTCTCAGGCCCAAGGTGAGGGCATTAGCTGGGTTGAGTTAGTTACCATTCGGCAGGGAACCTCTACAGATGGTTACTGTGGATTAAGGACCAGCAACATAATTTTGGAGGCACAATATGAAATGAAAACGTGGGTCCCTTAGTCAAAAATGATTGAGAGCTCAAAATAGCAAGAGCCGGTCCTTCTTAGCGTGGGATCATATGACTACCCAGGTTGCAGGCTCCCAAAGCCAGTCCTTACTGGCCAAGGTCATTACTTGGGGGCAGGAAGACCACAGACATGAAGCTTCCTTAACTACCCATTTGGGCCCTGGTTGGGTAGCTCAGTTGGTTGGAGGATTATGACCATCCCCTTACGCCAAGGTTGTGGGTTACATCTCTGGTCCAGGCACGTTCAAGAATCAACCAATGAATGCAGAAATGAGTGACATTTCCTTTTCTGTGTCAGCCCCTAACTCCCCACTGTTTCCACAGGAGCTCAATGATGGACTATGGAGTGAAGGAACTTGGGAATTTAACCTTGGGTAGGGCAGGGTCAAATCAGAAAAGGAGGCCTTGGAGAAACAGTCATTCAGGATGGTGCCTACATTATCTAAATGACTTCACACAAAGACCTGGGGAAAACCTTAATGACAGTCCCCAGCCCCAAGAATGTAAGTTGGGGTCACAGGACAGCAAATTTCTGAATTGCCCTTGCCTTCCAGGTGCCCTCACTTAGCCTCCTATGGAGCTTGGGTGAGGAGCCCACTAGGTGAGCTGCCTGGCCCCAGGGCGGGTGGCCAGATTCCCAGGGATTCACCTATGCAGAATCACTTCGAAGCAAGACATTTATTCCGTATGTTCAGTTTCAAATTTACTAAGGTCTGCCAGCAAGTCCCTGTCTTACAGGAATTGAGCGCCCCCTGCTGGCAGGATGCTAACTAGCATTGACACTGAACTGTCTATTCTCAATGACATTCTCAATGTACCAAAATCAGAAAATACACCCTGAGGATTTAACCTTGTATACAAACCAGTGACAACAATATGATTCATACTACTAGTTATGAGTTATATATGGGTTTGGTACTAGGTTAAATTTTTAAATGTTGTGTGACTCCTGGGTTCCTAATAAAAATGATTCTTTATCTCAACTATAGAAACAAGGTCAACATTTTGAAGTTCTCGATGTTGTGATACAATTTTCTTCCCATTTCAGAATGGAGTGGTCACAGAAGGCTTTATGGGGAGGTCACGTAGTCCAGGGAGAGGACGTGGGTTTGGGATCAGACAGACTACACTGGAATCCACTTACAGTGTGACTTAGACTGAGTCTTTTATCTGGGAACATACCATTTACTTTTAAGTTGCTATCTCCTGATCACCTAGGATGAAAATATCCACCTTCAAAGTAGACACGAGGGCCAGAAATCATGTGTCTAAGACACACAGAAGCATTCGGTTAACCTTTGTTATTGTTACTGTATTATTTAAAGGTGGGTCTGTTACTACAGTATTTACAAACGGGTCTTATTTGGGCTTCAAAGGATGGGCAGGCAGCTCCCGGACCCAGATCCTGCTTCCAGAGGACAGAGGCTCCATCTGGAGCCCTGTGCCTGGTTCAGAGAATTCACCCCTGGGTCACGAGGCAGGGTTCACACTGGGCACTCAAGTGTCTTTAGAACCACACAAACGGACGCAGGGTGCCGTCCTCATGAATACGCCTCTCACGGGGCTCGTCCGGACAATTCTACCTGTAAGCGCTATTCCAAGTTCCTCTACTTCCATCTCCATCTTCTGGTCCAAGCTACCGTCCCCTCTCACCTGAGCCAATGCAAAGCTGTCCTCCCACTTCTATTCCTGCCTGCTCAAAACCAGTGACTTACATTTAAAAATATAAAATACAATCTGATCAGGACACCCCCAACTCCTCCGGCCGTCCACCCACCTCGCTTGTGGTGCTAGTTCCAGCTCCCAGCTCTGCAGTGCCCTCTCCACAATCCCCCCTCATCCCACCAACTATATCCCCCTGGCCACTCCTACCTATCCTCCAGATACTGGCTTGAAAACTCAAGGGGGAGTCAAGAAATACCACATTTTCTTCAATCTTTTTGGCCTCACTGTGCTGTGCTGAAGCAGAAATTAAATCTGTGGTCACCAGAGTGTTCTGTTCTTCTCTTTGGGTCTCACAAGCATTTAGGATGCTCACAGTTGATCTGGAAGGTGTGCAAGGATCTCTGCACTTCACTCCGTCTGGGTCGCTGCCGCAATCCTCACTGCCAACTCCGAGGCGCCCTGGAAGGAGGTGGTGGCTCCAAGGCATCAGGGTCTCTGTGTCGGCTGGAGGACTTGGTGTTGGGCTTCAGGGCATCAGGGTCTCTGTGTCGGCTGGAAGACTTGGTGTTGGGCTTCAGGGCATCAGGGTCTCTGTGTCGGCTGGAGGACTTGGTGTTGGGCTTCAGGGCATCAGGGTCTCTGTGTTGGCTGGAGGACTTGGTGTTGGGCTTCAGGGCATCAGGGTCTCTGTGTCGGCTGGAGGACGTGGTGTTGGGCTTCAGGGCATCAGGGTCTCTGTGTCGGCTGGAGGACTTGGTGTTGGGCTTCAGGGCATCAGGGTCTCTGTGTCGGCTGGAAGACTTGGTGTTGGGCTTCAGGGCATCAGGGTCTCTGTGTCGGCTGGAGGACTTGGTGTTGGGCTTCAGGGCATCAGGGTCTCTGTGTTGGCTGGAAGACTTGGTGTTGGGCTTCAGGTCTCCTTTGGGCAACCCTCAAACTTCGACTCTGAAGTTCACCATGTCCCTCAGTCTGGGACACCACTTTCTACTACTCCAAAGAGGCTTCTTCTCTCCCCCACTTCCCTGCCTCCCAAACAAGGGGCAGGCTGGCTTTTGAACATGTCTGCTTTGTGCTGCATACAGCTCACATGGCCCGGCCACTACCTTGGAGAGTGGCTAAAATTCAGAAACAAAATTAAATTTCAAAATATGTGCTATAGAAGCTATTTATCAGAAGGTCTTCCCATAATTCCCCTGAATTGGGGGCCATCAGAATCAGGTCCCCCAGTCACACCTCATATTTGTGTCACTGTTGGGGGTCCAGATGCGCCCCCCCCTGCTCTGTGCCAGTTCCCTGGCTACTGGGCTTGCTTGTGTAAGAGCTCAAGAGCTGCCCTGTTCTCAGGAGTCACACCCTGTGGCCATGCCTGAGAGGTAATGCCCTCCCTGGGGGATGGAGGGACACAATGATCAACCTACAGCACTCGGAGCACAAAGGTCTAGCCTCTCTGGTCTCAAGTGGGAAAACTCTCGGTGCACTTTCCATAGCCCCTGTGGGATCTGCCAGAGGCCAGACTTCAGCTGAAGCCTCATCTTTGCCTCCCCACCCCCACCCCATCCTGCTAACCTCACAGCTTTCTCCTGAGCACAACCTCGATAAAATCCTTTGCACAAGGAAGTGCCTCAGGCTTTGCTTCTAGGAACTCAACCTAAGTGACATCCTCTATTTTTTCTTCCCAGAATGTCACAATTGGAAATCACAGGAATCTGATTCTGCCATCTCACACGTCACAAACTGGGCGAGTGGACAGTTCTCAGATGAGGGTAATAAGACAAGCAGATAAACCAACAGATGCTGTCTACCTTTTAGGTATCATACTGATTCAGTTGAAAATCAAGACAACTTTTGTTTCATGGGTCTACCAACAATCCTGGGAAAGGCTGGACCCACAAGCAAGGCTGGATTCGTAGGAACATCTGCTGGGTTTTTTTTTAGGATTTCATTTAGGGAGGGAGAGAAACATCAGTGTGTGGTTGCCTCTCACGTGCCCCCTACTGGGTACCTGGCCCGCAACTCAGGCATATGCCCTGACTAGGAATAGAACCAGTGACCCTTTGGTTCACATGCCTGTGCTCAATCTACTGAGCCACAGCAGCCAGGGCTGTTGTTAAATAGATGTCAGTATCTTAGATGTGACATACCACATATAAAGTTGTAGTAAAACCCTCATTTAACTAGAATGTGGAAGAACATTCTAGGTACTTTAATTTTTTTTTGAAAAGCTTTCTCTTGTTATAAACTTTTTTTCTAAACATTGTAATTCTCTTTTCTATTGTTTTTAGTTATCTGAAGGACTGGTGTCTTGGTGCTTTTGTTCTGAGCTGAATGACTTCTCAGCAAACCACTGATACACAGGGATCTCCATTAGCCTGGATGTACCTGGATTACAGGAGAGTTGCTACAGTGTTATCACCGCAGCCCTAAAATCAGCTCACTAGTTTTGTGATATACTTTTCCTCCTAAAAGCCAGGTAAAGAGAAAGAGCCATTAACATAAGATAACAGAGATTTCAATTATTCAGGGTTTTCAGTTTTTCAATGATGGATATAAAAGTATAAGCCGGGGTCTCCTCCCATAGTTTACCATCTGGAGAGAGAAAAAGACAGACACCAATTAACTAAGGCAAACAATTCTAGGAGATAAACATGTTTTGCAAAACACAAGTTCTCATACAACTGTGTAACTAAATGTTGACTCCACAGTGTTTTGTTACGTCTCAAAGGGCTTTGGGAAGATAAGTCCCATTACTGGATAAAACTAGCAGTCCTTCCAGCCAACCAGAGCCCTTCTAGAAACATCAAAAGTGGTAGGGAAAGTAGAGGGAACTGTCAGATACTCTTTAATTTATTAATGGACCCAAAGTTTGAAAACATCACAGGGAGTCTCAGGAATCCCGGCAGTCGGCAGTCGGTGAATTTGCTTCCAAACACCTTCACGTTGCCAGGCTCCCCACACACCCACTCAGGCAGCTTCTCTAAGGGGGAGCAGGAGAAGCTGGCGATTCTCCCTGTGTTGGCTTCCTCTTTCTAAGCCTTCCCTGACGTGTCTCCTATCGCCTGTCACAGGACACATACAAGCAGTTGGGAACTGTTAAACTCTGATAAGTAAAGCAAAGTTAGGGTTAAAGGCAAATGTTTAACCAAATATATTCAAACACAAGCTCAGGAATGAAGAACTTTAGGTTCAAAGAGCCAAATATTCTGCATTCCTGAGAAATTGCAACCAGTTCCTCATTCTGGTGAGTATTTGCAGATTGCACTTTGCTGCCACAAACTAAGTGGGTGTACATTTTTGAGTGCTGACCTATCACTAAAAGATCTGAATTGGGGGACTAAAAGAAAACCTTCTGTATCTACATATTTTTTTAAAAATTCATCCACGAGAAGGGAGCCAGGTGTCAGTTCCCCACGGGGGGGACGTTCTCGTGCAGGTACTGCAGGGCCAGGTCGGTCCACTTCATCTCCTGTTCTTTAACGGATTCCGTGGTGCCGCCGTTGTCCTGTTCAGGTTCAGGAAGCTCATTCTGAAAACACACGAGGGACATTCAGGACAACAGCATCCTGTACATTAACAAACTCCGTACAACCGAGCGTGTAGGATTAAAACCCGAGTTCCTAGAAGCAGGCAGCCCGATTGACACGTGTGTCCCAGAGGAAGAGCCAGGACATGGAGACGCGAGGAGGTGGTGAGTTATCGCTCGGGTCCTCTCCAGAGAGGACTGGCGGCCTTGTGGCTGTTGTGCAGGAGGCAGTGTGGCAGAAGGCCAAGGGCACAAGCTTCCAGAAGCCACCGGGCTCCGAGGCCACGACTCTACTGCTTGCTAGGGGACTCAGGTGAGGATTTCGAACCCTTGGAGCTTTCGTTTCCTCTTTGGAACTGAGGGCAAGGGAGCCACCACCTCGGAGGAGGGCTGTGAGACTGAGTGCGGTAATTCGGAACAAGTGCTCCGCACTGCGTGGGGCACCCCCTGCTCAAGGAGTATTTGCTATTATTCGCAGTGGCTGGGAGAGCTGAGGAGAGCCAATACTGTGTTTTTTCTTGGCGGGGGAAGGTACTTTAATAGAACATCACTTTCGCTGGCACAGTCCTTAAGCACAAGAAATGTATTAAAAAACTATCCTGCACCCTGCATGCCTAGATTATAACGGAGCTAAGTGGGGAGCTGTGAAAATGTAATGCGAGATGAGACCACCCCCTAGTGGTGGAGCAGGGCAACATAAAACATGGCAAATGACCTATTCACACCCTGCCGGCATTTCCTTAAACTGGTACATCACGGGCCACACTTAGTGTAGAATCTGGAATAATTTCATATAAATATATTTTTCTGCCCAGCTCTACTGAGATTTAATTTCCACACAATATTCTGTAAATTTAAGGTGTACAATGTGATGATTTGATACATATATATTATAAAAGTTACAATAAGTTTAGTTAACACATCCATCACCTCACATAGTTACCATTTTTGTGTATGTGGTGAGAATTTTTAACAAAGTTCCCTTACATTTCAAATTTAAATTTATTACTACCAGGACTCTGCTTTGTATCAGAGTTCACTGATACCAATGTATTTCTTTTTTTCTTTAATCTTTTTTTAAAGATTTTCTTTATTTATCTTTAGAGGGGGAGGGAAGGAGACAGGGAGAGAAACATCAATGTATGGTTGCCTCTCATGCTTCCTCCGCTGGGAACTGGCCTGCAACCCAGGCATGTGCCCTGAGTGGGAATCGAACCATGATCCTTTGGTTCGCAGGCCCGTGTTCAATCTACTGAGCTACACCAGGCAGAGATGTATTTCTTTTTAATTACCTGAATTTATACATTTTTTAGGGTTAGCAACCTTTTATTCAATATCCAGACTTAGGATTTTCCAATGGATTCCAATTTACAGTTTATGAATAATGTTTTTCTCCTTTAGAATTATGTTCAGTATACATAAAATGATTTATAATATGACATATATATATTTTAATCACATATATCTTCTTGCTCTACAAGTGTTATGACTGAAATTCAAACATACTTGTACAAATTGAAATAACTACCATTTGTTGTAAAGCAATAGTACACTCAAACTTGAAGTGAAAGTTTGTTCCGATGATTAGTTAGAGCTGACAAAGCATAAACAAGCCCTTGCTTAATAAGTTATTTAATTCAGAGGCAGGCGACTTTGCTGAATGTCACCCCATCTGGGACATGCATTCTAAATAATGTCTTCCATTTGGTCACTGTTGACTCTTGGCAATGAAGGCCAACATATAAAATTGCATATGTGCCTGGAAAACAGTATCATAAACGTAATCATCTATTATGGCATATTGTAAAAATGTCCACAATTCTTTGCAGCTACTCTTATTAAAAGGAAAGGCAGTCTATTTCCCCAGTCTTGGATGGGGACTGGCCAGGAAGCCTGCGGTGTGCTCCGATGGTGCTCTGGACCCCGAGACGGCCATGCGAAGTTGGGGCTCGTCTCGTGGATGAGAGACTGTGGCCCAGCCACCTCATCACCCCAGCTCACAGCCTGCATAACTGCCAGAGGGAGGAAGCGTCCTGAGTTACCCAGCCTCCAGCTAGCCCTCTGGCTGACTGCAGAACGCAAGCAAGTCCAGCAGGGAGCAGCCAAGCTGACCGAGACCTGTCAGCTGAGCTACAAAATCACAGAAGTAATTAGCTACTGTTTTCCGCCACTAGGTTTCAGGGTGACTTGTTAGGCAGCCCCAAAAGCTAACTGATACGCACAATGCCTTAGCATCACAAGACAAGGGAAAATATGTGGAGTATGGCAGGGCCAGGCTGCAGCCTGGGAGTCAGTGTTGCCGTCTCCCTCTCCTTCGTCCCCCACCACACAAATGGTCCCCAAATCCTGCCAAGTATGTCCAGACCCTTCTCCCTTGCCTAATGGTCTCCTCACTGGTCTCTCAGCCCTGTCACTTGCCCCTTTCTTCATGGCAGATATTCTGTGATAATACTGCCAACCTGATTTTCCAAAGCCTGATTTTAAGCATGGCAGACTTCGATTCCGAAGACCATTCCCGCCTGAGTATGCCCAGGATGAGGTCCAAGTACAGTATCAAACGTTCCTCTCAAAACCTAGTCCAAGCTGAATTTTCGCGCCGACCTTCCCTGACAAACATATTCTCCATCCACACTGAACACCTCACTCTCCCTGAAGATGCTGACAGCTCTGAGCCTCTGCAAATGTATCCCCACTGCTGGGGTGCCCTTGCCCACCCCCAGGAAACTTCGGGCCCTCCTTTATAACAAGCTTAAACATTACATTCTCTCTGAGGCCTTTCCTGATGCCCACCAGGCAATGAGCCACTTCCTATATTATGGTGGCCATTCACGACCCCCACTTAGAACCCTTATTATTATTATAATTGTTTATGTCTATGTGTTACCTCGTAGACCCCCCCCCATACACACACACACATGCCCCAAGGGCCAACACTCTATCTTATGCTCACATAATCCGTCACATAATCTAGCTGCTGGAGGTCTAGAGAGGTAACACATATAAATAAGCAATTATCATGATTATTATGATGCTTGTGGGATGAAAGAAACCAAAGTTTATAGGACAGGGTCTGGAGCCTCGCACACCTAGGCGTGAAGTCCAATTCCTCAGATACCCAGCCCTGGGCAAGTTCCCCTCTGTGATCCTACTTCCCTCCCGGAAAATGGGGACACCACCACCGCCCTGGCAAAGCTGATTCAAGATCAGCGATGATGCACATCAAATTTCAGCCTTAGTCTGTGGCAGAAAACTGGTGCTCACCAAGTCTCAGCTGTATTTCTCATTACACTCTCTTTTTTGACTATTTTTCTAAACTTGAACTAAGCTCTGGCTTATTATTTGATGTGTGTGTTACTCACTGAACACATTATCATCTCTTATTCTTCAGTGAGAGTGTAGGTGAACCGAAGTCTCTCTCTGTAACAGGGCGGCGGTTCATCTGCGAGCTCTGTCTTAGTAACAGCTCTTCCCGGGCCAGCCAGCACGTTCTAAAGAAAAACAGCCCCTGGTGTCTGGGCTCTGTGTCCTTTCCAGGCCTCTGTGACACAAATGGGGTATTCAATAAGCAAGTACACAAGCAAAACTTCTAGACCACTGACGACATAAGGTTTAACAGACTCCTTGCAGAGCAGTTTCCCAGACAGCAGAAGAGCGTATTCCAGGAGACTGTTGGTCTAAAGGCAAAAGAAGACAAGCCAGATATCTTTTGAAGATTTTCCAGGGAACTTAGGACAGGTGTGTGTTCCGAGAATGTGAGCTTTTAAAAATGACTGACAAGCCACAGGTAGGGAAGTAAGAAATACTGCATGGCTTATATGCCACAGCTTTGTAGCCTTCCTGGCCTGATGCACTGAACTCTCATTATTGGCTTACTGGCTTTGGTGCACTTGACATAATGACTCAGAAGACCTGGGTTCCAGTCCTGAAATGACCCCTACCTGAGCTGGTCACGTCAGCTCTCTGACCCACATTTTTCTTCAAATGGAGACTAGATGCTCTCCTGAAGCTTCTCAAGTTAGTGGACTCCATAGCTTTCATTGCTTTGCTCTACTAGTTTATTTGTGCATTGATGCTTTACCTTTACAAGGCCCACCAGGTCACCCCTTTAACCCATCAGCCCCAGAGCCGATCACAGCCTACCAGTGGTATTGCAACATCCTCATAAGGCAGCTTATCTTCTCGCCAAGCATCGTCGATCAAATCCAAGATCCTCCCATCTCTCTGTACTTCACTGTCCATTTTCCTGCAGCTTCAATATTGTCAAATCTGTAAGCCAAAGAGGTTATTTCGAACACATAAAGACCCAGGAGGTGTTGTAACCCAGCACCAGGATTTCCCAGGCTCTTCAGCCTGGATGTGTCTTTTGGCACAGTCCCACCCTGAGAAAGACTCATCTCACCTGGGTCCGGCAACAACCTATTTCTATGATCACAGTCCCTCCTCTCTTTCCCCACTCTACTCCTCCTCTCCCTTCTGGTGACGGATGTTTTGCAGTATACATGTGACATCAGACACAGCCCAGCTGACAAACCAGTGTTAAACAGTGTGACAGGAAGGCAATATATCTGAGGTCCTTTGTTACGACGCCATAAAACATCTAGAATGTAGCTCTTCTCTCCTAACTTGCACTTTCACCTTTTCCTGTTCAGGATGCCTTTGATGAATCCCTGACTCACAACCAAGTCTGCTCTCTGTTTCCTCTAGCCTTTCCTGCACCATTTTTACAAGAGTCGCCATCTGCCTTGGCTCTAATATTGGCATTCTTAGGCTAAGAAGCTAAATGAACATACTGAGGTAACATTTAACTGGGTTATACAGACTGACCAACTGCAGACCCGATGGAAATCCTCCACCGAGCTGGCAAAGGACAAGGCCTCCTTTCTCAAGGCACTCAGGCCGGGCCCTGGAAGACGCGCCTCTAGGTGAGCAATGGTGGCAGGACGCCATGCAGCTTGATTCTTCTTCCCTTTGGGGTTCCTCTGATTTTCAATGTTGCACACCCATCAATGCCTGGTCAAGATGCTTACTTATTACGGCTGATTCCTCATTCCCACCCCTCCCCAAATGGCTGTACTCAGCTTGCAAGATACCTCTTGGGTTCCTTGTTTCCAAGTATGGGCTATTTTTCATCACAGGTGTCACTGTACCATGCACCCTGCTACCAAACAGCCCTCCTGATGACCTGGAAGTCTATGGCACCAAAGGTACTCACAGTCACCCCCACTTCTTAGAGTATGAAGTCTCATACAAGAAACAATCTTTGGGAGTGGAACCCAACTCCTTCATATAGGCCTGTGCTTGTCCCCAACAGTAAGACTGCAACCTTGCCCTAATACTTGGCTAATAATTATATACAGGTTGAGATGGGGTAAGAGTTTGTACCCCTACGATAAGGAATGAGGTGAAACTGAAGCAAAAGGTACCCATGTACTTTTGCAACCAGGGAACCAGATAAGGTCTTGATGTTTCACACAAAAATTAATCCAGAATTACCCAGTGAAAAGCCCAAAAGAAGAAGGATCCTATGTCTGGGAAATTTACACACAAGGGGTCCTTACCCTCAGTACCAGTTATATTTCCAGAGTCCCTGTCTCACAAGATCATTCCTTTCTCTGGCTGCCACTCCTTTGCCCTTCATGCTCTGGCTTTGGGGATACCCTCCTCCCTTTTCTCTACTGATCAAAACCTGCTGGTTTTCCCAGGCCCACACAGATTCTCCTTTTTTCTCAAATCACTCCAGCTTCGGCGGGTATTCTGTCCTCAAATACTTCCTTCTTGTCCACCAAATACCTATTTGGTCCGCTCTGTGACCGACTGATTGCTCAGGTATTATCATCTCCCACTGTTATGTGTATATTTTGTATCAAAGACTCCTTCACCAGGTCTTTTGTATCAAAGACCTCTCTCCCCAATTTGGCCTCAATGTTTTTCACTCGTTACTCTTTCAAACACCTCTAATCCTATCATACTTTCCCCCCATCACTAACCTGTATTTTTCCTCCCAAATTTAACATGGGCATTAGATCATCAGGGTAAACAACCCATTCCCAAAGTTAGGTGCTAAGGTGTTTTCACTTTTAAGGGGCTGGAAAGCATCATGAGACGCAACGTCAGGACGCGGCCACTGTCACAGGCATTTGCTCCACTCAACAGAATTAACCACTACCAGTTTCCTGACAAACTTTTCTTACGCGTGTGTGATAGTCCTAATCCTGGAACGCAGTCTCCTTCCTGTGCACCACCTCCCCCGCCCCCCGACCCCACCCCAACTAAACCCACAGCCGGCTTAAAAACCTTGGTTCCTGCAGGAGGCCCTGTTTCTGTCCCAGGCGGAGTGTGGCACCCGCCCTGCCGGGTCCCTGGTCCCCGTGCACACTGGAGGATCTGTTGGGGAGTTTGTCACACTGACTTTTTCATGCTCTTTTCAGACACCGGTGCGTGCCTTCCCATCTTTTATCCATCTCTGTAAATACAAGGTTACAAGATCAAAGCAAGAAGGCCTTTTTCCTCGCTAGGAATGACCCTCGCAGGCCACCACCATCTGTGCAGGTGTGCGAGGCCGCCGCACGGAACCGACTTCCGGCCCCAGGCTGGAAATACACAAGTTGGAAGCAGGGCGGAGAGGGAGGGTGGCGGGAGAAGAACATGGCCCAGCCCGCCACTCAAGTTCCTTTCTACTTGACCGGGCGTGCGGTAAGAGCAGTGATGAAGCGGATGAAGTGAAGACCCAGCCTCGACCGATGGGACTGGGGGGGAAATGTGACGCTGTGGAACGAACTCGTTCCCGCCCTCCAAAACCTAGGCTAGGGGTGCGGAGAACCCTTACCGGCACCCGACCCGGCGCTGTACCCGCGGCCGCCGGAGCCCACCCTCGGCACTACGTCATCTGCACTCCGTTTCCTCCGATCCCCGGATGTGAGTGAGCCTATTTGCTAGCGCGGAGCGGGGCGGGCAGGAAGGAGGTGGTTTCCATTAAAAGTGAGGGGGCCGGGGGAGGAACGAACGTGCGGACGGCGGAGGCTGGACGTCAGGTTGGCGGTGACGCGCGCGCGCGCCCTGGCCAGAGGTAACGGCGGGAAGGCTCGGGCGCACGCGCGCGGGCGCGCGCAGCGTCCCTCTAACCGCATGTGCGCTAGGAGAGCAGGCGAGGGGCGGGCGTGTCCAAGTCCGGAGGCTGCGCTGGCCGCGGCGGTGCCGTTGGCCGAGCGGCTGTATGGCCCGGGGCTGGCTTCCCCAGCGGCCCTTAGGCCGCCAGGCCCGCCTCCACCGCTCCGGGCTCGCTCCGGCGCCCCGCCCCTCGGCCCCGCAGCGTACACCCAGCGGTCCCGCGAAGGCGGATATGGCCTTACCAGGCGCGGTGCTGTCCGAGCCAGCCAGGTGGTCAGCCCTTCCCTGAGACTCGGCGGGCGGGAGGTTGGCGGGGCAGACGAGCTGCTCCTGACCCCTCAGCTCCTGGAGCGGAGCCACCCGCGGGTCTTTCCACCCCTTCTAGGGATCCCTGGGGCTACCTTCCCGCCTAGCTAGTCCTATCTGATTAGCTTGTTAGCATTGTTGCAATTTAGATAATCAAAGGCTGGGGATGCCGGGTCATTTATGGTGGGAAGTTTAGCGATTTTTAAAAAGGGAGCTGGTTTAAAAACGTTAATGTTAGTACGGAAGAGACAGAAATGTGGTCGAAGTCGATAGAGAGGGACTGAAGTTCGGGAACCTTGAACTACGGATTGCTTCGTGCAAGTCACAGATGGGAAGTAAATAGAGTGAGGGTGTGAAAGACGTGATTCCTCAGGAACACTTTAATAATGAAGATATGAAGACGGCAAATCTAGACCCATTATGTGGTTTTTCTTATGTCTCTTACAACATCAGAGTGAAGATGAGTCTGTTGTCAGTGACTAGACTTCATGTGTAGTTACAGTATACGTATTTGCACAAAAGGGGTTTTTTTTTTGAGCTTTACATTTGATTCCTGAAATCTTCAGTGTTATTTTATTCCTTTATTCAAGTGTTGTAGAGTAGGTACTCTGTAGTTTTACAGTGTCCTCCACATGTTTTCACTTGATTTTATAGATATGAAAAGGAAATCATGATAAGGATCGTCAATACATGTTACCTTCAAATATTTACATTTAGATTTGAAGCTGTAGCTTAATAATATAATAAAAATATATTATTTCTTATTTGGTGTAGTGCCATCTTATCCTGACCTTGCCCTTTGATTGTATCATTAACAGTAGTCAGTACAATATAGTAAAAAAGACAATGTAAAATGTGCTAGAGATGTATAAACATTCAGTCACACTGTTCTTTAAAATGCATGTAGATTCTGGTTTTAAAAATTAACTGGATTGTAGGAACTGTGTATATTAATTGTACTGATGCCATTTTCTCCCATTAAAGGGAAGACCTGTCCTTGGTCCTTAGTGGAGGTGGCAGAGGTGGCCAATAGTGACAGCATCAGCAGTCCACTCAGGGCTTCCTACTTTTAAAAAAATTTCAGCCTGATTTAAAGTTCAGTTGAAGCCAACACTGACGTAAGTTTCAGGAACTGGATTTTTTTATTTTTATATTACATTAGGTTTTTTTCTCCAAGAGCTAGGTTTGTTTATTCAGTTTTACAAAAGCACAATACCATCACCCACCTATGAAAATACATAAAAATTCCATAATGTCAGTGTTCAGTCAGGGTTTAGACTGAATGTGTCACATAATGTCCCAGCATTTAGTGGGGCATTTCCCCACTGCCCCTTAAATGTCTTTTTATAATTAACTTATTTGGATCAAAATCCCTTAGAGATACATGTGTTGAATTTGGTTGATACACCTTGTAAATCTTAAATATAGCAATTCCTTTGCCTCCCTCTCCCCTCTAATATTCTAGAGTTAGCTGATTGCATCCACATGGTATCCTTTAACATGTAAATCTATTTCCTTTATTTTCTCTAAAACAACATTTAGATCTAGAATGCCACTATCCAGCCTACAGTAGTCACCAGCCAGCTGTGACTACTTAAATGAATGAAAACGAAGTGAAACTAAATTTCAGTTCCTGTGTCATGTCAGCCACATTTTAAGTGCCCAGCAGTCGGGTGCCTCGTGGCTACTGTTTAACTGGTGTAGATATAAAATGTTTCCATATCGCAGAAAATTCTGTTGAATGGCACTGGTCTAGAAGCTTGATCAGATTCAGCCTTGACTTTGTTGTTGGGGAGACAGGAAGATTTCCTAGGTGGTGCTGCACACTTCCTGTTGCATTAATGATCACAGAGGCAGTGAGTTGTTTCTTTTCGTGATGTTAAGACTGAGCAGCATAATGGGTCTAGGTGTTGTCAGCCCTGTCCATCCATCATGAAACCCCTCATGAACCTTTCACTTACTGGTGAAGTTTTTTCATGGATTTCAATCGCTTATATCCATTATTGCATTAGGGGTTATAATATGGTGATTTTCTAATTTTATCATTCCGTCAGTACTTATTAGCTGGAAATCCTTCATGAAGAAGAACTTTTTCCCATGAACCTTTTATTTGACTACCACCAGTTGTTTGAAATACAATTTGTACAGGAAAGGCAAGTAAAATGCTTAATTCTTTCCCTCTATTTTCAGACTTCAGTAATGAGTTGGTGGCATAACAACCTCCAAAGGTAACCATGAGGGTTTTTGACTTTTTAAAAAAATCGTCAGCTTATTGACTTGCATAGATTTAAACTGTTTCTACCTATTGGCCAGCCTTTTTTTTTTTTGATACTCAGAGTATTCTGTTTTTGCCTAGTGGTGGCCCCTGTAAGTTGGTCCTGTCCACTTTAATATGACCAGCAGTCTTTGATAACTTTCTCATTTTCTGATAAAACATGTTCCTGGCATTTATATATTTTGGCCACCGAGAAGCCCGGCTCCTGCGAGTGGGAGGTGGTGTTCAGAGTCCAGCATCGGGGTTTGGGAGGGGCTCTCGCTGCTGGGTTGGAAATCGTTCCAGGGTTTACAGTGGCCAGAATTAGGAAGTATACTTTAAAAAGAAGAATATACAGAATTCACACTGATATTTCTAATTTAATTTTAATTTTATAGGTTTTTTCTCATATTTGGTTTTATATTTGTATCTCTTTCTCTTTTGCTGACACTATTGGTACGTAACATCATTAACATAATTACTTTTTTCTTATCCAATATTATATGTTACTGTTTCTAATGAACACTACCAATTTTATTATCAACAATATGATTCCTAAATACTGTCAGGATTTTTTGCATTTCTCTTTTTTTCTTAGTATATATTCCATCTGGATGTGTGCTCTGTGACTGTTGCATTTTACAGTCATGAAACAATTTGTTACATGGCTAGGCCGCCAACCTGATGTCTAGTTGATAGTTGATTTATTTCATTTTATTTTCATTTTTTCAGTCCTGCTTTTTTCCTATTTGGATTTGTTTTATTATATGGAAAACATTAGTATAATTTGTATAAAACAAGTGCCTGTAAAACAAAGTATATCCAGATAAGTCGAGCTTTCATCCCTGTTTCCTCCATCCTATTCCCTTAATTATAGGTGTCATAATTACTGTCATAATTACATAATTATCTGTTCCTAAAAACAACTGCATTATATCTGTAGATCTGTAGATATATAACTATATCTTTGTATGTGTACATATACACACATATACATTTTATATATATTTACTTTATATATATATACACATATACATATGTATTCCTCTTGCTTCAATAAAAGGTAGTATTTGCATGTACTGTTTGTATCTTGCTCTTTTCCACCTACTAATACATGTCCTGTATATCCCTCCACAGAAGTGTGCAGAGAGTGTTACCCCTTTTGACAGCTTTATAGTGTTTCCTTGGTGGGTGGGCATTGAAATCGTCCCCTGTTGATAAGTGTTCGTGTTTTTTCCTACTATTCCATGTAGTTGTGTGATGTATATCCTTGTGCATATGTGATTCTGTATTCTTGCCAGTGTATCTTTGGAATAGTTTCCTGGAAGTGGCACTTTTGGATCAAAGGGTAGTAAATGCATACGTATCAGTTGTTAGGCGCTGCCCAAGTCTCCTCTGCAGTAGCCGTACCATTCTGCATTCCTGCATGCGGTGTGCGTGGCTGCTGGTCTTCCCAGGCTTCATGAGTACATATTGTCAAGCTTTTAATTTGTGGTTAATCGGATACAGAAGAAAGGGTAACTTAGTGTATTTTTAATTTGGTCAGCAAGACTGAGCACCTTTCCATATGTTGAAGGTCATTTTCACTTCTTTTTCTATGAGCTACTTGTTCATGCTTTATACCCATTTTTCTATAGATTTGTTTTCTCCCCCCTCAGTTTTTAGGTTCTTGGTATATTGAGATAATTAATTAAGCCTTTGTGATTTAAAACTTTCAAATACCACTGTCATTTGTCTTTTGTCGTTAACTTTGTGTATGGCATATCTCCTATATAAAAATTTATTTTTATTTGCTCAGATCTCTTAGTCTTTCTCCTTATTCCTTCTGGATTTTGAGTTACACTTTAGAAAGTGCTTTAAATTTTTATTTTGGAAAATTTCTTTGATACTTCATCTGCTGATTCCCTCCCCACCCCCACCCCCTTAAGTATAGGAGCCTTTCTGGGTAATGGTAAATTATACCAATAGTTTATTTGACCAGCCTTGGTATATCCGGGAGCCATAGACCTTTGTAATCATAGTAACACCAAGGCAGGTAAGGGACAGAGCATTGTTATCCTGCTTTCAATGAGATTTGGTGGGTAGGCATGTCCCTTCTATTAGTACACATTTATTGGTAATTCTGCCCAGAGTTTTTTTCTTCCTGTGTCCCATTTTGTGAGTAATTTTATGGTGGCTGTGTACTCTAGATATTTTTTCTGATCTGTAAAATGAAGAGGTTAAATTGGGGGGTCTTTGGGTCCTTTCTAGCTCTTAACGTCCTAAAATATGTTAATGAATTTCAAGGATTTGCCCATTATCAGATATCCTATTTGGATTATTTTTCCCCAATATTTACAATGTGTTCCCGTGCTCCCTGACTTGTGAAAAAGCTTGTATTCCCTTTAACCATCCTGTTCCAGATTTCACTGATTTTAAACAGCTTTCATTCCAAAGGAGAGTTAATAATTAATAGCTTTTGTTCATTGATGTCTTAGTCTAAATGCAGAGAAGACTAAGATTGCCCTGTAACAATTGCAGAGTCACACAGTTTCCATTTAACTGCCAGGAGTGGCAGATGACCAAGCGCCAATTACTGAAATTTATATCCAATACTATGAACAAAGAATATCTAATTTCACATAATTATCACATGGCACAGGCAACGAAGAAAGCAGACGGACATAGTGCATAGAGCTGAATGAGGGTTAGGAAAGGCGTTTGAGATGTAGCTTTGAGAACCTGAAAAGAGAAAGGTGGACAGACTAGTTACAGGACCCTAAGGCATGAGAATTGATGGCATTTGACAGCTACTCACGCAGACGGTGAGGAGCTTATTAAAGAAACACATTACACATTAGTAAGGTTATTTTACAGAGAGGATGCTGCTGATCCCATCTCTACCCCTGTTTAAAAACATGGATCTCTTGGTCTTAGACCATTGTTTTGATTTCTGAAATGGCAATTTCTTCCTTTATGTGGGCTATTTTCACTGTTGTGCTGCTGCCACCTGGTGGCCGTGGTAGTCGTGTTGTACTTCAGCTTACTTTTCCGTTTGGTTTGATTTTGATTTGGTTTGATTTCGATTATTTCCAAAAAGATTCTGTTGAACCAAAAGAAGATATAAGGGTATTTTAGGATCTGAAATTTTGTAAAAGATACAATCATTGTACATTGGCTGAGGTTCGGCAGTCACACTGCCTGCAACTTCAATCCTACGACTATAATTTTAGTTTACCACAGTCAGGTTATCTAACTCTCCAAACCTTAGTTTCCTCCGAGTGAGAGTATTTGTCTTTTATGAGTGTGTGGATAATGAATTAGACAATATGTACAAGCAGAACAGTTGAGCACTCAGTGACTTTTAGCTTCTGTTATAAATGCTGCTAATTATTAAATAATGTCACCTAGAACATATATTACAGTACTAAACATGTATTAATAATATATATTTTAAGTATATTAATGTTTAAGAATAACATGACCTAAAGAAATATAGCTTTACTACTAATAATTTTAAATAATCTCACTTTCCTATATATTTAATAATTATCCATGTATAGTTGTCAAGAGGATGCTAGTTACAAGTGGACATTTAACTGACTATTAGAATCCCCTGCAAAAGCTAGAAGAAAGCTTGGAGATTATAGTTCATATTCCTCATTTTACAGATGCAAAAACTGAAGTCCAAGGACACAAAGCTAGTCAGTTGCAGAGTGGGACTGTATCCTGGGCCTCCATCTCCATGATACTGGGTGAACTCGCGGCTGCCTCTCAGTCCTCTAGAGCTGACCAGGACACGGAGCCTGGGTTGTGTTGCAATGGACCATGTCGTGGTTGAAAGAAAGTGGAGTCGAACATGGAAACCTTTCTCTTTAGCTTTTTATCTTGTCTAATGAAGGACTAACTGGAAAAAAATCCTTTCTGCCATGTTTACTCACGAATAGCTTAATACCCCTGTTAGTACTTCAGAAATAAATGCAAAGAACGCACCATGGTCGTGTTTTCCAGTTTTCTCATCCTCTGTTGTTTCAGGAGAATGCCTCTGGCACTAAACTTTCCCTCCGGGAGAGCGTTTTTGGTTTTTTCTTTTCTGTACTGGACTATTAATTCCTTGGAAAGGGTTCACGTCTTTCATCAGAATATATCTAGTGGTCAGTAAACACTGAATTCTTTGTTGAATGAAAGAATCCTTAGAGAAGTATTTGTAATTTTTAGACAAGACATTAGGACAAAGAGGCAGGTCCTCCATGTGACTATATTTCAGAATTACCTGAAAGAGTAACTTATGATTCGGTTTTTGAAGGTTTAAGGAGAAAAGCATTATCTCAGGAGTGAGAAGTGGTTGGACATTGACTAATGTTTTGAAGATTTGGGACAGTAGGTGAGAATCCTACAGTCGCTATTACCACTCACTAGAACTTCTGAATTTAAGGGTGGTCTTTCCTTCCTCCTCACCTTCCTTCCTTCGTGGGGTCTTTCCTTTTCTACGGCAGTCTCTTCTGTCCTTTTCTTCTTCTCCGCCAGACTCCTCTCTGTAGCTCTGCAGCTGTGGCCAGTTTGGGTAGGGAGACAGATGACAGGGCAGGAACTGACAGAAGTTTAGTGGCATGCGTCCAGCACAGGCCATGCTGAAGTGCTACACTAAGCTTTGGAGCAGCAGGGTGGACAAGATGGGTTTTCTGCCCTTGAGAGATGGATCGTGAGGGAAAAGCATGTGTTCCCCTGTGGTGTGACTGCTATGAAAACCCCTTAGGGATGAGGAAGGGTGCACTGTAGAGAAGGGAGGGGCCCACGTAACTGCCTTTCAGGGGAGGGGAGGGGGTTCCAAGAAGCTTCAAGGGTTTGTCATCTTGAGGGTGAGTGGGAGCTTCTGTGATGGACCAAGGAGTTTGGGCTCAGGGTATTCAGCCTGTTTATAATCTCTTAAAAAAAAACTACAACAAAAAGCTATACCATTTTCTCTGATGCGTGTGACCCCTAGATTCTCCTGTATGAGTGTTTATGTCACCGTCCCTCTGCTTCTAGCACCCTGCCTCCAGCCTTGGTCCACCGTGTGTTAGGAAGCAGGGGTACAGCAATGAGGTGTTTGAGTTCAGTCCTCTAGGGAGAGTGTCAACAGCAACAGCGCGTCTGATCACTGTTACAGTATTTTGTTTTAGTGTGCAATGTATTTGCCCCTAATATTTTTTGAAGTGGTATTTCTTGACTGCTCCTACAGTCATCCTAAGAAGTGTTGCATTTTCTTGTTATTTGTATGCTTTCATTGACATTCTTAAGTTTGTCAGTGGAAATGTTAGAACTTATGAATTTTCTCCTGATTGCTGTTTTTGCTTTTTCAGTTGCCAAAGCAAAGGGGATTTGGCGATGGAGGCTTTGTTGGAAGGAATACAAAATCGGGGACGTGATGGGTAAGTTTGCTTTTGTCCTGAAGCTTCTCATCGAGTTTAAACAGCATGTTTGAGTTATGCCTATGACCATTTTGTGCTTTGGGTGCAGAAGCAAAAGTGTCCAGCCGAAGCTGAGCTGATCCGAGCTGTGGGTGGACGGCGTCTCTCCCTGGGGTGTTTGCTGCGCCTCAGCAGTGCAAAGCTGGACGCTTGCCTTTGCCCCTCTTCAAACATTTCTACTCGTAAAAGCAAAAGTGGGACAGAGGCTTCGTGACACTAAGAACAATGCTCTTTTTAAAAAGTGTTTAAGCCTTACTAGTTACACTCTGTGAGTGTTCCTGGAAACCTTTCTGCATCCCGTACATCTGTGTCCACTTCTGTTTCCACCTCTGTAATATCCGGTGTCTCCTGAAACTTTGATGGACATCAGGAAGTTTAATCACACAGGTTGCAGTAAGTTCCTAATAATAGAGTGGAAAAAATAGTTGACATAAATCTGACTCAAGGATGAATTTCTTGACACAGCTCTTAAAATTGTGTTATTTCCTCAATAGCCTGCTTGCTTCCAAGGCTTTTGATTTTGGCTAGCTGAGAATGTGACGTCGGCTGGCCTGGATTCTCCCTGAAGGCTTCCCTGAAGTGTCACAGAAGTGCTAGTGGTTGGTTGTCGAAGTCTCACTCACAGCCAGATTTAAAATACCGATTTTGCATTTGGCCAGAAGGATCTGGCACAATTAATGCCCCCTTCTTATTACAAAATCTTTTATCATAGAGTCATAAACATGTAGTTCTGTAACATAACAATATCACACTCAAGCATGCCATGTAACATTTTAAGTGAAATGTTCAAATTAAAACTATAAATTATTACACCCATATTATTACCTTATGAACCACGCTCATGCAGGCCTTACTTCTGCCAGACCCTGTATTTTGTGGGGGTAAGTCATTACCTTAGTATGAGCATTAAAAGGAAAATCTCGGAAGTCTTGTTCTTTGCTTCTGACAACCTATTTATCAACATTGTTCCACCTCAAGTAGGTTTATATCTGCTCTGTTTTTGCATCTGAAAGATGAAAAACCACCTTGACATGGGTTTCGTGTTCTTAAGGGTCTGTTTTTATTTTCAGGGGATTTTTGACATCCTGTGAGGCAGAACTACAGGAACTCATGAAACAGATTGACATAATGGTGGCTCATAAAAAATCTGAGTGGGAAGGGCAGACACATGCTTTGGAGACTTGCCTGGACATCCGTGAGCAGGAACTGAAGACTCTTAGGGGTCAGTTGGATATAAAACACAAAGAGGTACAGCAGTTGATTTTTTCTCTTTTTTTATTCAGTATATTTATTTCTTAAATATTTGTTGAAGAAAGCGTTTTTTTATGTCATTTGTTTCTGTGTTGTCTTTTAATTCTGACAGTTTCTTTTAGAGGAAAAATTCATTGTGAAAATGCCCAAGAATATTAACAGTTACTTTAATGATCATGTTACCTTGGTCACCTGCATAACTTCTTCAGGAAAATGTAAACCATGTTGCACAGTCTTTGTATTATAACCTTTGTCCGTATCAACATTTACTGAGCTTAGTGAACATTGTGTTTGGCCTCACTGTGTGCCTAGTATAAAAAAGTTAAGCCCAGAATTTGATAATTTGCCTTTTTTGGTAAGATTTAAAACAAAATTCAGAAACCCTTTAAAAAATTTATATTTGCTCTTGATCAAAATTAGGGGAAATGAAAGAAGAAAATAAAAAATTATTTGCAATCCCACCACCCATAGTTATTGGCAATTTGGGGGCAAAGTTTAGTAATATTTGCTGACTGATTCCTCATGATTTAGCTGGCACAGTCAAGTTCACTGAATATTGGAAAGGAAGCAGAGAGCATTTATAAGGGCAAGAGTTGCCCCTAAATGGCATGCCGGTCGGTCTCAGACGTATCAGGAGAGTTGTGGGGGCGCACTGGTCCCAGGCCCCGTTCTGATGGACTTTCCTGCCCGCACCAGCACCAGCACCAGCACCAGCACCACTCGGTGCTCTCACTCAGTTTACTGAGGTGCATGTACATGAATGGTCCACACTGAAATCGTGATTCTATTGAGGACACTTGAAGTATTTTAGACCATTGCACTTAACAAGGGAGAGAGCTGGGCTTGATAAAAGTGGTTTAATGCTTGTCGAACGACTCTCTCATTGGTTGGCCATTTGCACTTGGGGGTCAAAACAGTACATAGCAGTATTGGTTGTGTAAAATTCAGTTTTCTGTAAATGCCACTTGTTAAACTGGAATTTATTTCAAAATTTGGATACAACTTTGAGAGTGTATTTTAAAATTATACCTCATGCAAAGATAGAGGTAGTGGAAAAGTACTTGGGATCATTTGTTTATTTTAAGTTTAATTTACATATGGTCTGTGCTCCTTATCCAGCAAACTGCTTTAGCTACCACTTCTCTGTTTCTCTTAGGCACAGGTGGCAAACACATGGCGCGCGGGCCAGATCCGGCTCTCCACCTTGTTTTATCTGTCCTGGCACTCAGCGGCAGCGCCAACCTCCTTGTCCCTAATTAAGGAGTAGTTACATTTATACAGTCCTGAAATTACATTTGGCCCTCTGAAGCCAACCATGAGGTTGATGTGGCCCCTGATGATAATGAGTTTGACACCCTTAGAGCAAAACAAAAATAGTTTTGTTTAGTAAGTTAAAGCGATAGTGATTTCCTAGTTAATAAAAACACTGTATGTTGGTATCCAAGTCATTTATTTTGTTAGAAACCTGTTAAAGAAATTCCTGTGTGTGTGATAAGAATAGTCATTTTTGGGGCTGCTTGAACTTATTTCTATAGCTTAGTCTGGATGTTAAGGGCATTATTGCTATTATTTAATACCTTAAAGAGAAATGATCAGGCCCTTGTTAAGGATTTGAAGGTGACAGGTTTAGCCTGGCACATAAAGGAAATTTAGAATGGCAGCTGTTTGTCGATTTGCCGCTTCACTGAATGGGCTGCTGAAAGTTGATGAAGTTTCTAGAACTAAAGTGCTTTTAACAAACACTGGTCACGGGACTCTATTCCATAGAGTTTGTCTCTGAAATTGTGTTGGTAATACCATGTTCAATTCTGCTTTGAACAGTAAATCACATAAGAACTAGAAAATAGGGCTTTGCAGTTTTTTCATTTTTATTTGACAGCCTAGAAGCAGTTAGTCCTAGGGTATAAACCAGTGCAGCTCAGGTGACAGGCCCACATTGAGATAAAGAGCTTGCACCAGAATGTAAATCAGTGTATTATGCCTTTCTCTCTTCATAGAAATGTTGCTATGTAAAAATGTCAGTGGCACTAAACAGTGTGTCTCGTGACGTAGTCCATTTCTTTCTGCCTCAAGTTCCTGGCATCCCGCTGGATGGCTGTTGTGACCAGCACAGCCCGTCTGTAGGTCGTTCTCTGGGGGGGGCACTTCATTTATAAACAGCCCACTCCGTGATGAGTGCGTTACGTGTTTTCTGGTTACACTGTTGGGAGTGGGTTGGTTTAAGCGACACTGGTGCTGCGGTTACCTTCCTGCGCCCCACGGAGCAGGCAGACTTAATGAGAGGAGCAAGGAATTGGGCATCCTGGCCTTGCGTCTTTCCAGCTGGCTGACCTCGCACAAATAATTTAACTTCTCTGAGCCTGTTTCATCATGGGTAAAATTAGGATAAAAACCCCAGGTCACAGCGTTGTTGTGACGATTGAGTTACAGTGTAAGAAAGCACATTGGAAACGATACGTTGTATCTAGAATCAGTTATTTCAGCTCCTCCGTCGTCCTCACTGCCACTTCAAACCTTGGTCCTTTTTCTCCGCCTAAGGCCATCCCTCACTTAGCATTCCACCACTCTCCTTCTTCTCCTTTTCTTGAAGGATTTTAAATATTTTGAGTGCCCATTATGAGCCAGACCCTGGTACATAAATAAAATTAAACAGTCTTTCCTTCACATGTCATATTTATGCTTGTCATGTATAATAAATACAAAGAAAAGTGTTTCTACAAGGCTCACAAGGGAAAACAGTAATTATCTGCCACGCCCCCGAGCCTCAGATTCCAGCTGCTCAGAAGCAGTCATTTCAGTGCCTTTAGCGCTTCCTTTTGGTGTTCTCCCCATGGCTCAAAGTAACTTTTTTATTCTGACATATCTTCATTTTCAGGTTTTGTTATTTATCTAATGACTTCCTACTGTGAAGATTAAAGGGTTTTCTCTGTTCCATACAACTTCTATCCCTTCATCTTGCCAAAATGGTGTATCTTAAATTTTTGGTTAGCTCAGCATTCAATATATACACCATTTTTTAAAAGATTTTCTTTATTTATTTTTAGAAGGAAGGGAGGGAGAAAGAGAGGCAGAGAAACATGAGCGTGTGGTTGCCTCTCACGTGGCCCCCACTGGGGACTTGGGCTGCAGTGCAGGCATGTGCCCTGACTGGAAATCAAAATGGCAACCCCTTGGTTCGCAGCCCGCGCTCAGTCCACTGAGCTGCACCAGCCAGGGCTGTATGTCATTTTTAAGATGGAAAATATTTTTCACAGCTGAGTCAGATAGTATAATGATAAACTTATTTCTCATACAATTTGTTTTCCCTGGAATTAATAATTGTCTCATTTATATTTGCTTTTAAAAAATGTACTTACTGCCCTGGCTGGGTGGCTTAGTTGGGTGAAGGGTCATCCTTGTCCACCAAAAGGTTGCGAGTTTGACCCCTGGTCTGGGCACATACGGGAGGTGACTCTTCCTCGCTCTCCCCCTTCCTCTCTCTCTTTACTGTCGATAGAAGACGTATCCTTGTGTGGCCCTCCCCAAACTCTCTGGCACAGATGTAAGTCTCTCCTCAGTGTTCTCGGACGCGTCAGGTGCTTTGTCTGTCTCTTCCTCCTTTGTTTGGAGCTCTTCCTGTTCACGCCCGGGTGCGGCCCTCTCCTGGCCCGCAGTAGAGCTGCGTCTCGGGCACGGCCTTCACCGTTCTCTGGAGGTTTTATAAATCTGCATCTTCGTGTTGGTAGAACATATTTTTACATGTCTGGAAATATCTCTGTTCTTTTTTCACATCTGATTGAAAGTTCGATTGGCTGTAGAATTCTGCTTTAGAAGTAAATTTCACTCAGTGTGTTTAGTTACATGTGAATCCTTTAGACTTTACTGTTTGGTAAATTAGGTAATTTGGGCCAATTCACCTACTGAGGACAAATAGGTAAGTTAGATTTTTTAAGAGTCTGCTGGAAGTAGAGTGCTGTCAAGACAGTGAAGAATTACCAGGCCAGGATCTGGGCGAAGCTGAAGGTCCATGGAGCTGAGGCCAGAGTTTGGGGTAATTATTAGCTGAAACTTGAGAAGGCAGCCACAAGGATAGAGACTGAATAGGGTTTTGATAAATAAGTTCAGGGAGTTAAGAGAATAAAGGATTTGGTGTCCAGGGTGGCTCTGAAACCCCTCCTCATTTTGGGTTGGGTAACCTGAAAGGAATGAGGATGGGCCAGGTGTAGAACACGCCCTCTTCAAACTGCTGCCGAGCAGCAGACATTTAAATCTGTGACTTAGTTGAAGACGACCCACGAGTGTACTGTCCCCAGGTAGCTCCAAAGTGCTGGGGCTTCCAGGAACCTGGGAAAAGCAAACTTACATTTTCTCCAAAGAGAAAAAACCCCACCATTCTGTCTTGAAGTATTTCTTCTAATAAGTTTGCAAATATGATGCTTGATAACCCCTGAAAAAGTAAGGTTAGACACATGAGACAAGACAACAAAACCTTTGAAAAGTAGAGGCATCCCAAGATAAAAACAGACCCATGGAGGTTCCAGACGGCGGCACTATCACGCTCAGACTTCTCGGTAGCTCTGTTTGCGGTGTTCAGAGGGACAGAATGTGAGATCGAGCAATTCAAGGAAGAATTAGAAATGATAAGCCCAAAAGGAGTGGAAAGGATAGTATTGAGAAATAGGATAATTGAAATCAGGGTCTTAAAGACTGAGGTAATTAAATTCGCAAGCTAGAAGATGGCACAGTAGAAAATGTTTACAGTAAAACATAGACCAAATGATAGTAGATATAGAGAAGGAAGCAAGAGAAAGAGGATGCAGAGAGAAGGTAACTATGACTGCTTTTGGAATCCCTGAAGGAGCAAAAAGAGAGCCATGGGGGTGGCGGGGAATGGGGAAAACTGTAACTGAACAACAATAAAAAGAAAAGAACGAGAATGGCAGAAGCAATATTGGAAGATAAATTGGCTAAAATTTTGCTCAGAGCGAGGTAGACTGCGTATTTAAGGAATCCAAGAATTCTCAAGCAAGATAAATAAAAATAAATATTTACCTAGGTGAAAACTAAAGACAAAGTAGAAATCTGAAAAGCAAACAAACAACCAAAAAAGTTTATCTACCAAGAAAAAAGAGACAGATTTATTTACAGTTCCTGACAGTTGAGTTGTCGGCTAAAACAGTAAAAGCCAGAAGACAGAAGAGTGGTATCTACAAAGAAATGACTCCCCTGCCAAACCAGAAATCTATATCTGGAAAAGAGGTGAAAGAAATTTTCAGATCAACAAAAGTGAAAGAATTCATCACTAACAGATCTGTTCCAAGGAAATACTAAAGCATGTTCTTCAGGCAGAAGGAGAGTGATCCCAGATGGGAGTCTAGGAGCTGAAGGAAGAAATGAGAGGAAGCAGTAAGTGTGGGCAAGCCCAAGTGAATGTAACCGCATGTAGCAACATGACCCTTTTCAGCTGAACACGTATATAGGGTTATGATGGCGTTTAAGTCGGGTGGGGGTAAATGGAACTAAAAGTATTTCTGGAGTCCTTGAGTTTCTGGGAATTGGTAAAACTACTAATAAAGATTACATTTGTTCAATCACAGACCCATGTTTTAATCTTGACAGACCATTGAAAGTTTATATTAACATTTTAATAGAGTGTATAATTTTAAAGCTAATAGGAGAAAAAAATGAAATGGTAAGTTATCACTTCCAAAGAAGGCAAGAAAGAGAAAAAGGAACAGAGCTTATGAAGTACAAATAGCACTCAATAAGATGATAGATCTAAATCCAAATAAAACGTTCTTTAATCAGTCTTCTAATTTGAACTTCAGAATCACTTTTTCATGTTAAAAAAGTCTTACTAGAATTTTTCATTGGAATTCCATTAACTTTTTCATCTAAAAATAGTTTTTTTTCTGTTTTCTTCAACTGAAGTATAATTGAGCTATAACATTATATTGGTTTGAGGTAAATGCACTAAATGGCCCAATTAAATAAAAATGGTCCAACTAGGTAAAAATAATTAAACTCAATTATTTGGGGTTTATAAAGGTACCGCAAAGTTGGAAGTAAAAGTTAAGATGAAAATATGTATCACGTGAACACTTTGAATAAAGATATTGTGTAGGTATATTCATATTAGAAAAAGTATATAATACTTGAAGCAGAAGCAATGAACATTCCTTGGGAAAGAGAAACACTTTATAATGCTAAAATACGAAATCTCACTATATGTAGCTGTAGCAGACATTCCTTGTGGCCTGTAGCACATCTTTGCCTCCGGATTTCATCTTGGCTGCTACAGTCAGACAGCTCCTGTGCACTGCCAGCCTCCCCTACACTATGCTTCTCTCTCTGGAGCCTTAGGAAGCTGCTCAGGCGAAACCTAGAAGTGTGTGGATGTTAACACTTAAGAAGTGGAGGGACTGAAATTCGTGGATAAATTCTCCAGCTTCCTGTCCCTTAGAGGGACTATTCTGAAACACATTCTGTTTGGTTCCTTGTTGAGTTCCCAGTGTGACTTAGTCCCAGCTGCTTAACTGCAGAAATTGACTCAGTAACACACCCTTTTATTGGCTTTCCTGCCTTCCCTTCTCATTTCCTCACTGTGCTACCTGGGATCACTTTCAACTACCTGCCTCAAAGTCCACGTTTCAGGCTACACTTTTGGGGGAACTCAAACTAAGACAAAAAATTCATAAATTTGTAAGTATCTAATAGAATCATCTTAAAAGAAATTTGTCTCTTGCTCTCCCTTATCTCTATGCAAAATGTGGCAGAACTACAAGGAGAAATAGAGTAAGTCATAATTGTAGCTGGGGATTTTAACCCACATTTCGTAGTAACTAGTAGAACAAGACACACACACGTCAGTAAGGATGTAGATTTGAGTGTCATGACCAACACACTTAACCTAATTTATACACACAGAACACTGCGCACAGGGATGGCGGAGCACATGTTCTTTTCTAACACAAACAGACCTCTTTCCAAAACAGCCTTTTCTGGCCAGAAAGTAAATCTCGACACAATTCAAAGGCTTGAAATCATCGAGTGTGGTCTCCGAACACAGTGAAACAATTTGTCATGACAAATCTGTCATGTTTAAATGACTCATTAGTTTTAAGCTCAGAAAGTTTTCTCCTACCCAGAAATCTAGTAAAGATTCACTTAGATCCTTTTTAAAAAAGTAGTTTATTCTTTTCCATTTTATTGGCTATATTTAATTATTCTTCTAATTTGAGCTTCAAAATCACTTTTTCAAGTTAAAAAAAAAAGTCCTACTAGAATTTTTCATTGGAATTTCATTAACTTTTCTAAAAAATATTTTTCTTTTTTCTTAAATTGAGTATAATTGAGCTATAACATTATATTAGTTTCAGGCATGTGAGTAATGATTTAATATTTGTATACATTGCAAAGTGATCACCACTGTAAGTCTCTTTAACATCCATCATCACACATAGTTACAATTTTTTCTAGTGATGAAACTTTTAAGATCTATTTTTTAGTTTTGTTTCTAATATTACCGTTCTATATCATATTTGAGGTGACCACCTCCTGACCCTCGTCTCCCTCCTCACTCATTAATAGATGAAATTCTGACTGGGACAGAGGGAGAAGTACTGGTGGCTATTGCTGGGGTTGGGGGTGGGCCATGAACTAGCCGAGGCTGGTGTCAGACCCTTGTGAGATGGGTTGGGTGATACAACGTCCTTGCGCTGGTTGGTAGAACTGATTTTTCTGAAGTGGGACCTGTGGTAGAGCAGGTACAGGTCTCCTACCGCCTTTTTTGTCTGATGCTACTATTTTGCATTTTGATTTACAGAACTCACTCCTGATGTCTTTGATTTTTGTTCAATATTCTTAGTTTCCAAGGTTCTTATAACTTTATAGTTCTTAATTTTTTCATGTTTTTTTTTTTATATAAAAGGGTTTGGGGAAGATAAATCAGTGAGAACAGATTTTCACCTAAACTTAGAAATAGAACAGTTGTTTTCCATTTTTTGGCAACATTATGGATCATTAAATAATTAGATATTTGACTTACTGAAAAGTGGGGTAACACCATATACATTTGAGAAATTGTATTTACAGGTAAGTGCCAAGGTTCTTTTCTATTTTCACGTTTTAGGGATATTGTTTCAGTGCTAATAATGAAAAATGCTACCACCTGTCTACTTCTAGGTTGGAATACTGCGCCAACAGGTAGAGGAACTTGAAAAAGTGAAGCAAGAGATGACCAGGGACTACAGGCAGGAGCTGAAGAAACTACATGAAGAAGTGAGATTTTAATTCCATGTGTTGTATCATTTTGTCTCTTTAACCCTTGGGAATTTTGTTGGTGGGCTAGTTTCTGCCTTGGAAAGCAGGAAATATATGTTCCATAGGAGCAACAGGGGTGGAGATTTTGCCTCATTACATGTTTGATACTGCCTAGAACAGAGATGCCACAATGTGTTTCTTGGTTGAGTATTTGAAAGAAATAGAGCTATTTTTGTGTGATGTGGTGACATATTGACACCAAAAACTTCCATTACATATTACTTTTTGAGTTAAATCAGTTACCCTGTTTTAAGTAATGGAGGATCCAAAGGGTTCAGAAGCATTTGGGAATAAATAAGAGAAGTGAGAAAATTCTGTAATATCTATTAACCCAGTCTTATTCTTTAGATGGGAGAAATTGCTTTTATTTTTATATGATTCCCAAACACCTCTCTCCTGCTTACTGACTGCCGGTGCCCCACAGGGGAGGGCTCAGGGGCCACGGCCTCGCGGCTTTGAGTCACGGGGCAGGTGGGCTGTGGGCTCCGAGTACAAGGCTGTTGCCACAAGAGTTACAGTTTTGTGTAGAAAAACATTTTCCCTGTATTTTTCTTTGACTCGCTGTATTCCTTCTCTAGGGTTTATGTTTTATATGTAGTTTTGAGTTGCTTTGTATTTTAATTTGTGAATCAAACATGCTCTTAAGCTATTTTCAGTAGTACTACTCAGCACTGCTCTTGCTTTCAGAATACCAATTTGTTCCACCACCACTGTTTACAAATTCTTACATTTTAAGTCTAGAAATAACTGTGTCTACAGTTAGGCAAACTGAAGAGAAGCTATGAAAAACTACAGAAAAAGCAAATAAAGGACTTCAGAGGAAACACCAAAAATCACAAGGAAGATCGGTCTGAAATTGAGAGGTTAACTGGAAAAATAGAGGTACGTCCACAGTAACAATTTCTTCATAGTGATTGTCAGCCTTCTTGGGGCAGAGTGATGTTTCTGCTGGTGCTCGTGTCCGAGATCAGTTTTCTACCATTTCCAGGGCTGGCCAAACTCTCCTTGCCATCATAGGGCTGCGGGGTTACTAGCGGGATTCTCAGCAGGGCAGTACCACCCTCGGGGGCATTTGGGAATGTGCAGAGACACTGCTTTGGTTGTGCAAGTGACTGGGAGTGAAACTGGTGTTTCGGGGACGGGGACTGGGAACACCAAATACACTGGGGCCGTTCCACACAGGAAGGATTGTTGTACCCTAAATGCCAATATTGGGAAACAGTGACCAACCATTACTAGCAGTCTTTGGTGGCAGTGGTCTTCGTCCTATTTATTACCTAATAGAGTAGAGGCACAGTAACTGTTCAGAGCACATGGCTCTTTCGTACAGAGCAGTCCCCACATCAGACTGTTCAGCCTCAGTCCCCATTTAGACAGCGTAAGCCGTTTACCTCCACTTTGCTGACTTTGATTATTGTGTGTGATTGATTCCCCGAAGGGCTGAAGGGAGGTGGTGAGTGACCGTTGCCAAGAGGATCTCCTCTTGGCAGCACAGGGCTGCCACTCTTTTCCCCTGGAACCTGCCACTCCCTCCTCTGTCTCTGCCACTGCACCTGGGTGCACTCTGCAGTGTACCTAGGAATCAGCCAGAGCCCTCGTAGGCTCTCAGAGATTCTGACCCAGTAGTATGGCATGGGACCTAGGAATCTGCATGTTACTCAGCTCCCCCAGCTGATTCTAACTTGAGAAACATTGTTCACCATCTTTTTATAATTACTTACAATGTTTCTACTAGAGCAACCTGTTAAATGTCCATATGGTATTACTACCTAGATTTGCAATCTCTGTTTAATATTCTTCTACATCTCAGTGTGTTTATACATTTGAAGAGCTTAGAATCCGAGGACTGCAGACTTACTGCTTCCTCTCCAGCCCTCTTCAGTGACACCCGGGCTTCCCCCTGAGATTCCTCATACCACTTCCTGACCAGTTTCTTTTCTTTCCACCTCAAAAACCCCATCTTTTGTTTTCATGCCATCAGCCTATGTCAACCCCAGTGTACAGTCATCCTCTGATCCCTGGGTTACTCCCCTGGCTCAAAGATTTCAGTCCCCAGTTCACTGTCAGTCTGTCCAACACCACTCTTACCACCGTAGTGCTTAAGGCTTTCACAAGAATGATGCTCATAATACTCTTGGTCTTTGAATTCCTTGGTGTTCTTTCCTCCGTAGATATTTTGAACTCCTCCCTGTCTCATCCATCCATTCCCATCACCATTTCTTAGGTGGTGGTGTTACCAATACCTGCACCCCTCCTAGAGTCCCATATTAAGCATCTCATTCTCTGACTCCCATCCCTGTGTTTTCAGCTCACTCCTTCTAGTCCCTGGACTCTCAGTCATCACTTGACCCCATCTCTTAAGGTGAAAATTCTGCCACCTCTTTACTGGTCCATCGCTACCTCGTGCCCTCACTTACCAATCTTACTCAGCTTAAATTCCATTGTTACATTCCTTACACCCCCTTCAGCACCTGTGCTTCTCTCTTGCTTCATCACATTTGGCAAAACCATAACTCTGCTTAAACCCAGCTCTCTGCCCGCTCTGTACTTGCCCTGTGGAGCAGAATGTGGCTGGAGAAAATCGTAACACGCGGACTGGCCTCAATTTACATTTGTGGTCACTCCTACTGTATTTCTTCTCGTTCTCCTGTTTTCCATGACTGTTTCATTGTTTCTCTTTTCTCAAATTTGCAACACTTTCCCCCACATTACCCCCACCTTTGGGTAATGATCTCGCTTTCTGTTTCACTGGGAAACTAGAAGCAATGAGAAGAGAATTTCACAAACTTCCAACACTGTTTCTACCAATGTGCTCGCATCTGTGCCCAGATGCTCTGCCTTCCTGCTAGAACAACCTATAGGGGGCAGCAAATCTGTGAAAATCATCTTGAACCCTGTATTTTGGTTTGCTTCATCATTAGGGTATTAAATTTAGAAAGACAGATGTTCAGAAGCACAGTATGTGTGGAATTCAGTATCGCTCTGCAGTTCTATCAGCTAAGTGAATAATGGGGCTCCTGATGTGGGGAAAAAGTAAGTAAAAGTGAATCTGGCAAGTATGACAGCAAGGGGAAGCACTTAGAAGTTAAGTACCTTAATTGCCTCTCCAGGAATTTCGTCAGAAATCTCTGGACTGGGAGAAGCAACGTTTGATTTATCAGCAACAGCTATCTTCTCTGGAGGCACAAAGGAAAGCTCTGGCTGAACAATCAGAGATAATTCAGGTAGGTTTTAAGACGTGTTAAAAGAACGAGAGGCAGAGGGGTTTTTGATTAAATTTGAACTAGCTTAATGCAGTACATGTGCGCTTGCTCATTTCCACGTGTGTCCTCATGCCCAGCTTGCTCCTTTGCTTGCCCGCTTTCTTCCCTGGCTTCCTTACTTCCTCACTCACGTTCTTTCCCTTGCTTGCTCACTCTGTCAAACTCGCACATTCTCATGCTTGCTCTACACTCCCATTCAAGTTCATTCTCCTAATGTTGGGCTTTCCTTTTGACCCTCCACTTCTCTCTTTCTACCCCTGTTCTCTCATCTTCTGCATTTCTGTGTGTCTCAGGCTTACTTGTTCTGGCTGTTTCTGGCTGTCGCCCTGGCTCTCTTCCTCTGTGTCTTGTGTGACACCACAATAGCTGGGGCCCTCTGACTGAGGTGCCTCAGAGGGAGCTGCAGCGAGCCTCCCTGTTTGGATACAGATGCTGAGAGATTCTCACTGCATTGGTGTGCACACTAATTGAAAGCAATGAACTTGTGGCAACAGACACACTTTTTAGAATACTAGTATAAACCGTTCTTTAATGAAGAACTAATGGCCTAAGTAAACCCAAAATATAGCCACCAATTTAGGAATATTTCTTTTTGAGTCACATTTAGTTTGCTTTTTCAATTAAGAACCAAGTCCATAAAGGGAAACATTGAGGGAAATGAATGTTTCTGGCACTGTATTATATCCTGGACACTGTCTCAATGCTTCTTCTATGTGCAGTTCTCTAGGACATATGGTTATGTGTTACCTATTTTATACAATAATCTATTGAGGTTGGTAGTTATCTGTTTTATAGGAGGAGGGAATAGACTGAATAAACTAAGAGAGCCGGAGGTAAGCTTTATTTCTTTCTTTATTTAAAAAAAAAAAAACAATCTGCACTATTTTCTGCTTGAAGTCTCTGTAATGTATTGGCTTCCGACCCCACCTTCACCCTGGCCCCAAAATACCAGCCGGCTGACCCACTACCACCTGCAGCTGTGCCGTGAGAGCTGCTGAGAGCAGCAGGAGGGGCCCGGGTGTCTGGCCCTGAGCTTTTTTACTTGAACTCAACAAAAATAAATACCCATAAGATACTGTTATATTCTAATTGTGGTCTTCAGATTGGCAAAAAAGAAAATCGAGTTTTTAATAGTTCTCAGTGCGTACTTATTACTGACTGCAGATCTTCTATTTTCAAATCACTCTTTGTAATTACTCTGCATAATTAAGGCTTTATGGTTAGTAAAAATGAGATTTTCATTTACCAAAATTCAGCTAGTGCTACAACAATAAGCTTCTAAAATGCCAACATTTATTTTCCCTTTGAAGGATATATGAATTATTTTTCTCATCGTTTTGTTTAACTAAAAAAATGTTATTTATATTTTTCTTGCTCCCTTATTAGCAAGCTAAATAAAATGAAATCTTTCTGTGATTGAGTGTGTGTCAGTGCCGTATGGTCCTCATTAAAAAAAAAGAATTAAATAAACTTCTGTATATTGTTTCCCAGCATTAATGGTTATCATTTTGGAAGTTTTATTTTTAAATTGTGGTAAAAACACATTAAAATTTGCCATCTTAACCATTTTAAAGAGTATATAGAACAGTAGTGTTAACTATTAGGTGGGCCAAAAAGCCCACTTAGTTTTTCCATAAAATGAAGGCACAGTTTTCATTTTCACCAATAACTTTATTGATTTGCATATTTTAAGTACCGTATGTTGGCTCTCTCCTACAGTTGGCTTCTAGTGGGTAGAGGCCAGGGGAACTCTTTCAAAGCATAAGACAGTCCCAAAATATCAATAGTACCAAGAAACTTCGCAAAGCACTTTTGCCATGTCCGATCAGTCATAGCACCTTTTCCATACACTGCACAAATCCTTTTTTGTGTTTCAGTGGCATTTTTACCTTTTTTGAAGGAAGAAAGCATGACACACTGACAATGTTGCGTATTTTCTTCCATCTTCAATATTAAAATGGCTACACAAAAATTCATCAATTTGGATAAATTGTTTTTAGTGCATGCTGATATGACAGCTGTCACAATACAATCTAACAAAATTGTTTTGAATAAAGTTAAAGACAACTAAGCACTACTAGAGCCAGCATACAGAAAAAAAACAAGTGAACTTTTTGGCCAGCCCAATATATGCAGGTTGTTGTGTACCAGATCTCTAGGACTTTTTCAACTTGCAGAACTAATACTCTGTCCCCATTGAACAACTAACTCATTTGCTAATCTTGTTTCAGCCTTCCCTACTTTTTATTTCTGGCAGGAATATTACAAAGCATGTAAAAGACATTGTCTTATTTCCCACAATAAGAACTTAAAAAACATAATTTTAGTATACCACTATCACATTAGCTGAAAAAAATAACTTCTTAAGATAATTTGATACCTGGTTTGTTCACATTTCCCCAGTTGTTGGAAATAATGTCTTTTTACTATTGGACGCCCATATCAGCATAGCCAAAGTTGACACACTGCACTTTGTTCATATGTGGGTCGCTTTGAAGAATAAAGGTAGAATATCTGGGAGATGGGGTAAATGGATATCAACATTCATACTTCTCTCCAGTTTAAAAAAATTCTTGATGTAAACTTTTTTCTTATGTATTTTTATTTTTTAACATTTAAAAGTGGAGCTCATAATAACTCCTCACCCCTTGAATTATATATTTGCTTGAGTTGTTTTCTTTAGTCAGCTATTGAAATTACATAATACATGTTCATTTTAGAAAAATGAGAAAATGTAGATGAAATGGGAATTACTATGATTAATATTTTGAGTAAGTTCTTCCAACGTTTTCTGTACTTAACCTGCCCAGCAGCCCTGAGGCTTGGCGGAACACAGCTAGGCTTCTGATCAGGTTTTTGGCCCATTTGAAAAATGGAGTGGTTTATTTTCTTATTGTTGAGTTTTAAGAGTTCTTTTAAAATTTTGTACAACAGTCCTTTATCAAGTGTGTGTTTTGCAGATATTTTCTCTCACTCTGTGGCTTGTCTTGTCATTCTTTAGACCTTGTTTTGAGGAGCCGAAATTCTAATTATTTTTTTAAAGATTTTATTCATTTATTTTTAGAGGGGAAGGAAATAGGGAGAGAAATATCAATGTATGGTTGCCTCTCATGTGTCCGCCGCTGGGAACTGGCCTGCAACCCAGGCATGTGCCCTGACTGGGAATCGATCCATGATCGTTTGGTTTGCAGGCCTGCGCTTTATCCACCAAGCTACACCAGCCAGGGCCTGAAATTCTAATTTTAATGAAGTTCAGCTTATTAATTTTTTTCAGGAAGTGTGTCTTTCATGTTATATCTAGAAAGGTATTTCTGTTACTTATGATCTAGGTTTTTCTGTTATGTTATCTTCTAGGAGTTTTACAGCTTTGCATTTTACATTTAGCTCTGTGATGCATTTTGAATTAATTTTTGTGAAAAGTGTAAGGTCTTTTTCTAGATTTATTTTTTTGTGTGTGTTGATAACCAGTTGTCCAGCATTATTTGTTGAAGAGGCTCTTTGCTCTATTGCATTGCCTTTGCTCCTTTATCAATAAAGTTCAGTTGACTGTATTTACAGGGCTGTATTTTGTAATGGGCCATGTATTCTGTTCCATTAATCTGTCATTCTTCTGCTAATGCCACATTGTTTTGATTACCATAGCTTTGTATTAAGTCTTGAGGTCAGATAGCTTCAGTCATCCAACTTTGTTTTTCCCCTTCCATATTGTGTTGGATATTCTTAGTCTTTTACCTCTTCATAACAAACCTTAGAATCACTTTGTTGATGTCCATAAAGTAATGTGGGGGGATTTTGAGGGGTGTTGTGTTGGATCCGTGGTTCACGTTGGGAAGGACCGACATTGAGACAGTATTGAGCCTTTCTGTCCATGAACATAGACTACCTCCCTGTTTATTTAGTTCTCTGATTTTTCATTCATTGGGGTTTTGTAGTTTCCCCCATATAGACCTTGTGCATATTTTGTTAGACTTGTACTTAGTATTTGATTTTTTAGGTGTTAATGTAAATGGTATTATGTTTTTAATTTAAATTTCACATATTCATTGTTGGTATGCAGAAAATTGATTGACTTTTGTATGTTACCCTTGTACCTGTACCTTGCTATAATTTCTTATTAATTTCAGGAGGGTTTTTTTGTTGATTTTTTTCAGACTTTTTACATAGACAATCATGTTACCTGCGAACAAAGACAGTTGTGTCTTCCTTCCCAGTCTGCTTACCTTTTATTTCCCTTTTTTGCCTTATTACATTAGCAAGGACATCCTGTCTGATACTGGGAGGAGTGGTGAGAGAGAGCCACCTTTTCTTCTGCCTGATCATAGTGAAGGAGCTTCATGCTTCTCTATTCAGTACGATGTTAGCTGTGTGTTAAAAAAGTCTTCACCTGAGGACATGCGTATTGATTTTAGAGATGAGGAGAGAAATGATGTGAGAAACATCGGTCAGTGGCATCTCATATGTGCTCTGGCCAGGGATCAAACCCATAATGTAGGCATGTGCCTTGACTGGGAATCAAACCTGTGACCTTTTGGTTTATGGGACAATGCTCCAACCAAGTGAGCCACACTGGCTAGGGGCAGTTTTTCTTTGTCTTTTAATTCTTTTTTAGTTTAAATTACAGTTGATAATTCAATTTTATATTAGTTTCAAGTGTGCAGCATAGTGCACACTTGCACTATGAACATTGCACTTGACATTTATATAACTTATGAAATAATCCCTGATAAATCTAGTATCCACTTGACATCGTACATAGTAATTAAAATATTACTAACTGTATTCCCTATGCTGTAGCTGTAGGGTTTTTATAGACAGTCTTTATCAAGTTGAGGAAGTTTCCCTCCATGCCTAGTTTTTATCATTCATGAGAGTTTTTTTCTATGAATGGGTTATATTTTTAATGTGCTAATGCGTTATGTTTTTATGGAAGTAAAACTCAGTTTTAGTTTTCCATATTCATTGATTATTCTTTCATCATTTCACGTTTTACCTGTTGGTAATCTGCGCGCCTCCAGGCTCAGCTTGCCAATCGGAAGCAGAAACTGGAGTCTGTGGAGCTGTCCCGCCAGTCGGAAATCCAGCACCTGAGCAGTCAGCTGGAGCGGGCCAACGACACGATCTGCGCCAATGAGATGGAGATCGAGCGCCTCACCATGAAGGTCAACGACTTGGTGGGGACCAACGTGAGTGTCATGCAAGAGCAGCGGCAAAAAGAAGAAAAATTGAGGGAATCTGAAAAACTGTTAGAGGTATGTTTTAAAAATCACTGTGATTGGGGAAATGTGGGAAAATGTGTGCATGTATGTTTGTTTTAAGGGAGAATAATTAACTTAGAACTATTCCCAAAATTTATGGGCTTTTTTCCTGTTCCGAGGCCGATGGATCAGATATTGATAGTTTTATTAATGTTGTGCCTATTATATAACTTACTGTCTAATGCCCTGGCTTCCTTTTTTCTTGAAGTAGAAAAATTGTACTAACATCTGACTTTTTTCCTGAGTATTTTGTAGGTTCTGCAGGAAGAAAAGAGACAATTGAAAGCAGCTCTTCAGTCTCAAGAAAATTTTATTCATGAGGCAAATATGCAAAAGGAGAAGCTACAAGCAAAATTAAAGGCAACCGACACTCAGCACACATTAGAGACCATCAGGTGTGTTTCATCTTAAATATTATTAATCTTAGCCACTTTTTTTTTAAAGATTTTATTTATCTTTAGAGGGGAAGGGAAGGAGAGAGGGAGAGAAACATCAATGTATGGTTGCCTCTCATGTGTCCTCCACTGGGAACTGGCCTGCAACCCAGGCATGTGCCCTGACTGGGAATTGAACCACGATCCTTTGGTTTGCAAGTCCGTTCTCAATCCACTGAGCTACGCCAGCTAGGCCAGTCACTTGGCGTTTTGATAACAAGTACCGGTTTTATATTGTGTATTTATAATTTTGTGTTTGCACATATAATGGGTTTTCTTACTTAGTTTAAATTTTTTTAAAAGATTTTATTAATTTATTTTTAGAGAGAGGGGAAGAGAAGAAGAAAGGGAGAGAAACATCAGTGTCTGGTTGTTTGTTGCACGCCCTCTATTAGGGACCTGGCCTGCAACCCAGGCCTATTCCCTGACTTGGAGTCAAACTGGCAACCCTTTGATTTGCAGGCTGGCATTCAATGTACTGAGCCACACCAGCCAGGGCTTAGTTTTAAGTTCTGAGTTAAAGTTTTATAGTGTTATAGTTTTGTGTGGTTTTCTGCCTCTGGCTCTGGTCCCTAACCTAGAGACTCTTAATGTTTAAAAGTCAGGAACCTCTTAGTCAAGCTGACTCTTGGCCAGACTCCAAATGTGGAAGAATTATAGTCCATAGCTCCTGGATGTAGATTAGGTTATGATTATTAGCTCTTTATCAATATAATTGACAAGCCTGTGACTGAGATGGCACTTTTAAGAAAATTCCCCAAACCGATTTTTATTTCTGTATATGAATTAGTGCAGTGAGGTTTGTAGTGAAAGGAAATAGAAGGAGCTGTGCCCCTTTTGCTCCATTTAACTCTGGTGCATATTCCTCTTCTTGCCAGAACTCTGGTAGTTTTCCAGTTTCTTGGACTGCAGGTTATCAAGTGTCAACAAAGTGATTTTTGTCATTTTGTCTTTTCCCCTTGAAAATCAGGCCAAAGTCCCTGTTGGGAAAGTAGTAAACTGCTGCTGGCATTTTTTAAAAAGATTTTATTTAGACAGAGGGGAAGGGAGGGAGAGACAGAAACATCAATGTGTGGTTGCTTCTTGCACACCCCCTTCTGGGAACCTGGCCACAGGTCCACTGAGCCACACCAGCCAGAGCTGCTGCTTGCATTTTTGAGAAGTGTCATCTCTTGCCCTTTTACTCTCCTAGTGCTCTTTTCGTTAAAGCAGGAGACAAACTGAAGAGTTCCGAAGAGTTTTGTTCCCAGAAACAGTTGGGAAATCTGAATGTTTTGCATGTTATTTTTGTTTGCAAAGATAAAAGGCCTTTACTGGCCCTCTTGTACCCATCCCTAGGTCCCCGGAGGAGTCTCAGACGGATAGGAGGTACAGCTCTCAAGAGCAGGACTTAGACCATGTGCTCTCCCCACTGGATCTAACCCACACGAGTGAGGAGCTGCTGCAGGCGGAGGTGACTCGTCTGGAAAGCAGGTAGACACTTGCATGCACATTTCCAAAATGGTCAAGTTGCTAAAATTATTTTGATCATCCTATTGATAAAGTAAACTAATATAATGGTCCGTAAAAAAAACAAGTGTTTTTTTTTGTTAGCATCCACAAATGGTCTGATTTCTTATTTCTTTGAGAAAACAGAAACAATTAAAGAACTTCCTAATCCTTGTGTCACTGAGTCTACCCGTCTGCCTGCCCTTAATCTGTTACATTGGATCAGTCAATGGATGATGTCTGTGCTTCTAAAACTCCACTTGTTTTCTGTTTTCACAGTTTTTCTCTTCTGTTTTTGCATCATAAAGTTCTTCCTATCTGATGATTTTTCCAGTGGTACAAAATACGCTTCAATATTTCTCATCATAGGGGAACAATGAAAGCCTTCCTTTAATCAGGTTACTTCCATATTTCTCTGCTCTCTTTCAAAACCAAGTTCTTCAGGAGTTGCCTGTGCTGTCTGTACTTCTTCACCTTTCACCTGTGTGGAAGCCCTTGGGTTAGCACTTTCCTCTCTGCCAGCCAGCTCCCTGGGACTGCTCTTGGCGAGGTCACTCTGGACACAAGGTCTCCTCCCCTCTGCTCTGAAATGCTGTTGGGTATTAATGTCATCCTGACTTACGCTATGCCAGGCCCAGCTCACTTGTATTGCTGTCATACTGGCGAACTTTTTTGTCTGTCATACAGACCTCTAAACGTTTTGACCGGGGAGAGTTTGATATTTTATTTTAAACACAAATCATGGTCATTTATACATTAACATCTTCTGTATCTAAAAGATAAAATATATAAACTACTGCTGTTTTACTTTTATATCATTAAGTAATACGTTTTTTGTTTTTAGAAACCACCAAGTATTTTCTTTACATAATAATTACTCGTGCCCACATACATGTGTATACAGTGTTTTTTTTCCACCTTGAAAAACATAGTCCTTGTTGTTATTGAGGTATATGTATACATTTTAGAGTGAATAAAATAATTTAAATCTTATTATTCTTTTTGACAGAACTAATTTTACATTTTTATTATAGATTTTTTTATTAACTGGCTTTTGAGTGGTCTTTTCCATGTATATAAGTTTTACTATGCTGTCCTCAGGCTCTGAAGTCTTGTCTCTTGTTTCTGACTTGCAGTGTGACCTTTAGGCCCCGATTTTCCCACCTGTTGATAGGACAAGGGTATCTCTGAGCTTTCTAACTCAGTGTTTGACGTATTGTAATCATATACTAAGGCCCAAGTAAATGAACATCCTAGGATTTTTAGAAACAGGTAAAACTGGAATGAACAGATAAAACACCAGTGCTCTGTACTAAAACAGTGGCTTTAAAAAATTCTTTCTTTGGCCCTGGCTGGTCTGGCTCGATTGGTTGTGGGTTTGATTCCCGGTAGGTACATTCCTGGGTTGCGGGTTGATCCCTGCTTCTGGTGCGTGTGGGAGGCAGCCAGCAGATGCCTCTCTCACATCGATGTTTCTCTATCCCTTCCACTTTCTAAAGGCATTTTTTAAAAAAAGGAATGTCCTAGGGTGAGGATAAGAGAAAAATTCTTTTTTTTTGTATTAAAAGGCAATTAGAAAAGGGAACGCTTTTATTTTTCTAAAAAAAAAGTATTTATTCAGAAAGAGGGGAAGAGAGGGAGACACGTCAATCAGTTGCCTCTCATATTTGCCCTGACCAAGGGCAGAACCCGAAACCCAAAACCCAGGCCCTAGGCATATGCCCTGACTGGGAAGTAAACTGGTGACCTTTCGCTTTGCAGGATGACACCCAAGTAACTGAGTCATAACAGTCAGGGTGGAAAAGGATCCTTTTAGATAGTTTATTGGTGTTACTCAATTTGCATGATATATTCCTTAACTGGAGAAATTCATATAGTTGTTTTTGTATTGTTGTATGGCAAAGATAGTATTTTTGAATGATAGCTTATCTGGTAAGTTGATTGCATTGGTAAGACAATCTCAGTAGTTATTAAGCATTTATCAAACTGTCTAGAACCAGCCGATCCAGGAGCTGAAGGGATGGTGGACACAGCTGGAGGGAAATAAGGAGTAAAAAACATTATTTTAACCATAGAATTTGTAGTTTGAGAGACAAAATGTACATGTTAAAGGACCTGAGAGCAATTTAAAGTAGTACATTTAAGGTAGGTAGTTCTGGAAAATTTGTACATTCAAGCTATATAAATAAAAAATAAATTGTATTTAAGGTTATTAGGGGACGAGGGTTGGGGTGGCTCTATTGGGAAAATACTGCTCTGATTGTTGAGAGGATGTTGACCACTCACTGCCAGGCCGGAGAGGAAGGTACTTTGTGGTCAGGGGGATGGTATATGCAGAGACAAGCAGTCAGGTGTAGCAAATGGCACGTGGCAGACAGTACAGCCTTTTGATTTAGAAGCAAAAAGATTTTACTTGTAGAGAGGACTTCTGCCAAGATGGAGGTGTAGGTGGAAGCACTGCACCTTCTCCCACAACTAAGTTTAAAAACAACAAAGTTTTAGCAACAAAAATGCAGCCAAACCACAGAAAATTGAACTACATGGAAGTCCGACAACAACGAACCCTTCAGCCAAACCGGTAAGAGGAGCAGAGGCAGCAGCAGAGCAGGGTCGGGCAGGAAAGATCCACCGACCGACCTGGGCGCACAACCCAGGTGCACCAGCAGCCGTGGGCAGATTCCAAGTGTGGAGAAGCGGGCAGACCCACTGAGGGCGCAAGGCGGTGGACCCACTGAGGGCTGATCTCGGTCACACATTCACGCACAGATAAACCGGTGAAGTAGCTAGCAGTGAGGCAGACCATGCAGTCCCCAGTGGCAAGAAGCGGCAGAGGGAACTGCCATTGTCTCTCTCTGACCCTGCCCCCACATACAGCGTCACAAACCAGCGACCTGGGTGGCCCCACCCTGGTAAACAACTAAGGCTTCGCTCCTCATACGTAATGGGCACTAACAGATCAAAACATGGCTCAAGAACTCAGAGCCCCAGACCTGATAAGGCTAAGCAATGAAGAAATAGCCAAACTTTCAGATGCACAGTTCAAAACACTGGTGATCAGGATGCTCACAGAACTGGTTGATTTTAGTCACAAATTAGAGGAACATATGGAAGCTAAACTAATTGAAATGAAGGGAAATTCACAGGAAACTAATAGTAATGGAAAGGAAACTGGGACTCAAATCAAAGGAGTGGACCAGAAGGAGGAAAAAAAATGACCAAACACAAAAGGATGAAGAAACAAGAATTCAAAAAAATGAGGAGAGGCTTAGGAACCTTCAGGACATCTTCAAACACTTCAACATCCGAATTATTGGGGTACCAGAAGGGGAAGAGGAATAGCCATGAGTGGAAAACTTACTGGAACAAATAATAAAGGAGAACTTCCCCTTTCTGGCAAAGGAAATAGACTTCCAGGAAATCCTGGAAGCTCAGAGAGTCCCAAAGAAGTTGGATCCAAGAAGGAACACACCAAGGCACATCATCATTACATTAGCCAAGATTCAAATGAAGGAGAGAATTCTAGAAGCAGCAAGAGATAAGGGGACAGTCACCTACAAAGGAGTTCCCATCAGACTGTCAGCAGATTTCTCAAAAGAGAACTTACAGGCAAGAAGGGGCTGGGAAGAAGTATTCCAAGTCATGATATCCAAAGACCTACATCCAAGATTGATCTATGCATCAAAGTTTTCGTTTAGAATGGAAGGACAGATAAAGTGCTTCACAGATAAGATCAAATTCAAGGAGTTCGTCATCACCAAGCCCTTACTATATGAAGTGTTAAAGGGACTTACCTAAGAAAAAGAAGATAAAAAAATATGAAAAATGAAAGGACAGCAAACTCACAGTTATTAAGAACCACACCTAAAACAAAAGCAAACTAAGAGGATAGCTAGATCAGGAGCAGAACCATAGAAATAAAGATCACATGGAGGGTTAGCAACAGGGGAGTGGGAGGAGGAGAAGGGGGGAGGAGGTACAGAAAATAAGTAGCATAGACAGTAGATAGAAAATAGATGGGGGGGCAAGAATAGCATGGGAAATATAGAATCTAAAGGACTTGATGGCTATAAACAAGGGGCTATAAACAAGGGGGGGAGGGGGTATGCAGGGTGGAGGGAAATGAAGGGGGGAATAGAACAAATGTAATGGCATAATTAATAAAATATATTTTAAAAAAAGATTTTACTTGTAGAAATGAGCACTGAGATAGGAGAGGTACGATGCCCCTGATGTTCTTATATCTGATAAGGGATTGATTCTTAAGTTAGGATGACAACTTGGAAACTCTTTAGAGAAAATTATTCTGGCAGCTGTGTGTAGAATGGAATTGTAATTAAGTGTAGTGAAGATTTAGATTATGATGGCAGCTCCTGTACAACTAGAGAGAAAAAATTAGCTGTAATCTTCAGAATTTTGTAACCAGTTAAATTTTAAGCATAAGGAAAGACTGTAGGTAAACACAGAAATCAAAAGTATCTTCAAAACTGGGAATTGGATTTAGCTGCCTCTTGTGATAAGAAAATTGGAAATGAGTTTTAATTTGGAGTGGGAGGTGATCTTTGAGATATGTCTTAGACATCAAAAAGGTAAATTAGTTTTTCTTTTCGATTTTATTTATTTTTAGAGAGATGGGCGGGGGAGGGAGAAAAAAAAGGGAGAGAGACACTGATGTGAGACACAGCAGGTTGCCTCCCTTACACGACCTGACTGGGGGCTGAACTCACAACCAGGCATGGCCCCGACGGGGGATCAAACCAGCGACCTTTAGGAGGACACCCAGCCAACTGAGCCACGCTGGTCAGGGCTCAGGGTTGGGTTTAAATATGTGATCCTGTTCTTGTCATACAGCTTGGAGTCTGTGAGTACAACATGTAAACAGCTGAGCCAAGAACTAATGGAAAAATACGAAGAGTTGAAGAAGGTGGAAGCGCATAACAATGAGTACAGGACAGAGATTAAGAAGGTAAAAGTCTGCATGCTTGGGGTCGTGGTGGTGTTTGGATTATGAATGGAGCGGTGGGCTGACAGGCTGTAGTAGTTATTTTTAGCGACAGAAAAGTATAGTCCAAAGGGCCACTTGGTGCTCAGTAGTCCCCAGCACCCGGCACGTGCTTGGGGAAGTGTCTGTTTAGTCATCCTCAGGGTTTTCATACCAGTATTTTCAGGGTAATTGAAGCCTTCCTCTTTGTATTCTAAAACTTTATTTTAAAACACATCTTTAAGTGGAAATATTTCTAAGCTATCTACACCTTCCTGATTGCAAAAACATATTATATGAGCTAGCATTTAATATTTTCATATTGACTAAAGGTGGTTATGGGTTTGTCTTGTCCTCTGTGCTGTGGCGTAGTTAACATTCTCATTGGCTAGTGAGGTATGCAGAGCTGTTTGTCTCTGCATTAATGGACTCTGGCTGTCCTGTTTGTTGACTCATTTTTTTATTACTTCTTTGAGATTACTTCTAGCCCCTTTCTTCTTTTTGTCTTTCTGTTATCTTCTGTGGACCAGGAAACCATGTAATCAAAATTTTTAGATTAGCATCTAGAAAAGAGTGAAGGTCACAGGTGCTGTCCTCTAAATAATGTATTCATGGGCCTTGATGCCGGTTCTCAGTATTTGAATAAGTTATCTTTCCCTCTTTTGAGGTATAAGAAATGATTATGTGTACAACTAACTGACCTTCAGTACAGGTGTGCAATGTGGTAAATCACTAATTTTCTGCAGATGTAATCTAGGGGAAAAATTCATGTCTTGAAGTAAGGTAAAAATTACCATATTATTCTAACTATTAATATATTTTTCCGTCTACATACTTTCTCTTAATTTTTCATGCTTTCCTTTCTGTTTCTTTATAGTTGAAAGAACAGATTTTTCAGGCTGATCAGAGTTACAGTTCTGCACTGGAAGGAATGAAGATGGAAATCTCTCGTTTAACTCGTGAGTTACATCAGCGAGATATCACTATTGCTTCTGCCAAAACGTCTTCCTACGACATGGAAAAGCGACTCAAAGCAGAGATACAAAAGGCAGAAGAAAAAGCTGTAGAGCACAAGGTGACATGCGAACATAACCTCTTTTTTTTTTTTTTTTTTTTTTTTTTTTCTTTTTTTTTTTTTTTGTTGGGTTTTTTTTTTTTTGGTCCTTTTTTTGGTTTTGGGGTTTGGTTTTTTTATTTTTTATTTGAAGTTTGTTTCTGAGGATCGAGTTTAGTAAAGACATCATTTCTGTAGTATTTAATTCAGTAAAATTTTGTGGACACCTGCTTTGAGCTGCAAGCATGCTGGGTAGCAAGCATCCTAGTGAGGATTGGTGGAGGTGAGGGTAGACAGACAAGCAAAGAGACTGTTGCCGTGGTGTGAGGTGAGAGTGTGATGTGTTCTCCATCACAAAGTAAACTCTATGGGGGGCAAATGACAGTGGACGAGACTGGAAAGCAGGGACTAACTCCTGAGGGGCCCTGTCAGTCATGTTGAAGAGTTGGAGTGTTATCTTGAGTGTTGTCAGTAGAGAATGGCTTTACTCAGGATAAAAAAATCTCTCTGGTCATCATATGGGAAAGAAGCAAGGAGGCAAAGAGACCACCCAGATGCTGTGTTGACAGTTAGATGGTGGCCTGAGCAGTGGGCCCTGGAAGAAGAGGGACATAGATGAATGCCAGAGGTATTTGGCTGAAAAAATTGGCGGGGCTTTGTATGCGACAGGACAGGGAGGGTGGGTGAGACAGAGTTAATGAAAGGTGCTAACTTGATTCTAGTTTGGGCAACTGAATGGAAAGTGGTACACTTCAGTGAAAGAGAGAAAAGACAGGGAGCAGTTTTGGAGAGGATAATGAATCTGTATGAAAGGTATACAAAATAGGGAGGCTGGTAGAGGGGGCATTGGTTTGGCGCCTTTGGCGTGTGGTAAAGGCTGGACTTTCATATGGAACTATGTAGTAGTCAGTTCCACAGATGGCCTGGAGTTCAAGATTAAAGTGAGAGTAAGACATTTAGGTGTGGAAGTCTTTGCATGACATTGGCATTTGAAACATCCTGCGAGACTTAAAGATTTTAATAAGAAAGCACAGAGGAGTATGATGGGCAGAGACTTGAACCAACTTAGGATATTACTCATTTAGCATAAAAAAGGTGTTGGCATGGAGCTAAAAAAAATAGTAGCACTAAGGAAGGAAGCATCTTCACTAAAGAAGCAGGAAGCCAAGAAAGGCAGGAATTTTTGGTCAAGCAGAAAAGCTAAGGAGAATGAGGGCTGAATATAAGGAATTAATTGTGTGAAAAGAGTGCAATCAACGTGATATTGGAGGTAGAAGCCAGTCAGGGGAAGCTGACCCAGGAGAGTGGTTAGGGGTGTGCTGGGGAACCGATTCCTCCTCTTAGAGCAATATTTTAATTACATGTGTGTTAATTCATCTTTAAACACCTTTTAAAGAAATCTTTTTAGAAAATATTTATATGTCTCAATGAAGAATGTAACTTTGCCCAATAAAAATTATATGTGAAAAAATTTTGAAATATTTATTTGTTATTTTTATTTATTTGTCTTTTCTGCTTTTCCCTTCTCAGGACATTGTGGGTCAGCTGGAGTCATTGAAGTTAGAAAATCGTCGTCTTTCTGAAATGGTGACGAAATTGGAATTGGGTTTACATGAGGTACGTAAATAGAAACTTACATTTTTCTACTATTGAAGCCTTTAAAGAAATCACTTTGTAGATATTTTTATGGTAAAGAGAGAGTTAAGATCAAATATGGAATGATCCTTTTGCAGAAAATAGTGGTGGAAGTGAGTGAAATATGACTCTACTCCAGTCATTGGAAGGTATTTTTGATATTATGTATGTGATAAAATATATACACAGTCTGTTTTCTTTATAGGGAGAATGTATATAAAGGGCTCGGCATACCGCTTGGCATATAGTAAGTGTTAGATGCTGTTATTATTATTATTATTATTATTATTATTTTAAAAATATTTTTTCATTATAAGTTGTATAACCTTTTAAGTAATTTAGTTTTAACTCCATTTCTGTAAGATACAATTAATTTAATGAAATGTTCCAAAATCTTATGTTTGGAGCATTTTAGTGAGTGAGGAGACAAGCCCGGTAAGAGAATTCTTCCCTTGAGAGACTGAGACTAGTCTGGTAGGACACGCGCACAGACTCCTGTGGCTAACCAGGATTAGCCAACAGTGACTTATAAAGTGTCGATGCTCTTTTAACTGTTTGGTTATAGATTCTTACAATTTGCAAAGTGATCCATCTCTTCTAACCCATCTTTTTTAATATAGATCAAATGCTCAAAGACTAGAAATAGTTTTTTCTGTATTTCTCAGGGAATATGTGCCTCCAAAGACGGAGAGTTACTCCCTGCCCCTGTTTGCCCCCATGTACTTCTGATTTCACAGTTAGGGATTAGGGAGGCTGGTGGGAGGAAGTGCGAAATTCTAGATGGATACTTTATTTCAACCAGAAGAAAATATGGGCCATTATTTTTATAGTGGAACATTCTCTTGACATCATGAAACCATAAAGAATTTTACAATATAAGGAATTTTACAACATAAAAATATAAAATTTCTGGGTGGCAAAAAATCCCATAAAAGACTAATAGACTGGGGAAAACAATCTGTAAACAGATAGAAGGTTAACATAAAATATTAATATATGAGGATTTTCTACAAAGATAATAAAAGGTTATTCAGTACAAAATATGGTCAAAGGGCATAAATAGATAATTCACAGAAGTAATACAAAAATCCAGTAAAAAAGGAGAGCTGCTCAACCTCCCCAATAATCAAAACAAAACAAATAAATATTCTATTGCTAATTGGATTGACAATGATTTTTAAAAACTAATGTAGCCAGAGTTGGTAAAAATCTGGGGAAAAAGGCCCTTTCATGCTCGGTTAGTGAGGAAGTGAATTGATAGGGCCTTTCTAGGGAGCAGTTGAGCAATACCCATCAAACTTGTAAATACAGAGAGCACGTGAACTCTTGAGTGCTGTGCATTTCTGAACTTGACAGTCATTGAGGAATAATTCTCCGGAACGGTCATATCAGTTTGCATTCCTGAAGAACCCATCCTATAGGAGCAAATGCACAGAAATGGTTATATTTTAGCGTTGTTTGCAGTGTCCAAAATTTTGAAATAAACTAAATGTTAATCTGGAGAAAGGTGGTTAATTTGTAGCTTTCTATACTATGAAATATTATGCTATAACTTAGGATGGTGGAGGAAAATATGCCTCTAACCTTGCTCCCTCCTGTAAGCCTTCTAAATCTATAGTGAAAGGAATTTTTTTTAAGCACAAACTTACAAGCCAGGTAAAAATAGGAAGATAGGAAAAGAGACAACAGGTAAACATCTTGTATGGCGGAAGGTGAGTGGAGGGATGGACATGGCTGTATATGTCCCGGTAAAGCCAATACTAGGCTGGTAGTGGAGAAAGCCAAGAACTAGCCAGTTTATAACACAGGATCTTCAAAAGGCCCACCCAGGATTTGGCAGTAACTGGTTGATAGAATCTTCTCTTACGCAGTGGTGACCTGTTCACATGTGAGTTGGGAAGTGTCACGGCACTTAGGCCTGACCGTGACTGGAGATTCTGTTCAGCTCGCTTTCTCCCGAAACCTCCATCGGACAGTGGTGGTGCTGTCCTCTCTTTGTACAGCCAGGTGTGTGCTTGCCACAGTTCTTATATTACCTTCCACATTCGCTTACCTGTGATTGTTGTTTATAAAATAAAATTCGAGGACATTTAAAAGGATGCCTGACAAAGGCAAGCATTTTCTTTTTTAAAAAACACATATTTAATGACATCAGGTATCAAAATCTGGTGAAAATTTCGTCAGCAGTTTAACCTTCCTGTGGTTCAGCAGTTACATGCAGTGCACATGTTTTGTGTGTGTCGGGAATAGTTGTTAGAAAGTGTTGTGCTGCATTTTCCCACCTAGAAAGGTAGAATTGCTTTTACGGATGAGTGTTTGGGCTGAATAAGAATTTTAATAAATTAATTATCTTAATGAACTCAATAAATTTGGTAAAATGTGTTATTTAGCACATTTATTTAAAAATTGGCAGCAGTTTGTAGTTTAAATCCTGTGGTCTGCAAAATTTTTTAGATGGGGTGGATTTGAACTGGAATTGACAACTTACTGAAAGATTTTGTAACTTGACACTAGTGGGATATAGATAATTAAAAGTTTGTATTTTAAAGTTTATGTTTTTGTTAGGTAAATTCTGTGTCAGACCACCCTGAACAGCCTATTTTCAGAAAGTTCTTTACAGAAAAGACCAAATTAAACATTGTATGAAACTCTAGAGATTACCATCATTTTTCAGACTGCTGATGAAAATATTTTGTCGTTGGAAAAAAAGGGTCCACACCACTTTTACTGTATTTCCGGGCAACACCTAGAATTAAAGAGCAATAAACTCGATGATCACAAAACTCAGGCCAGATCGGAGCAGTAATTCCCACTTTATAAGTGAGTCCTGCTTTATCCTGTCCAAATTGGTTTCACACACAAGAAGAGGTGCCAATGTCATGTAAAAATATCTAAGGCCAGAGAGTATTTATTTAAGTGTCTCTGATGGCCAGAGTTCCTTTTTAGAAACTTTGTTCACATTTCTTTTAGTCTCTCAATTTTCTTCCACAGGTGTGAAGGGCTACTCAAGCTTCCCTTTCTCTGAGAGCCCCTGCTGCTTACCTTACTTTCTCCATTTCTGGTTCTCACTTTAGCTTTCCTGCTGGTTCTGAGCCTTCCTCCTGCCCTGTGCTCGTTCCGGACACGACAGGGAAGCCCACCTCGCCTAACACTTCACCCCACTCACTGTGAGAGGCAGAGCCTCTCTTCTCTCTCAGTCTAAGAGAGCCACCACCAGAGCTTCACTTTTCCAAAGTAAAGGCACAGATGAACTGGTTACAACTGAAAAAGAATGTGATTTCCCGCTAGCAGTGGTATCACAGGTCACGAGTATTCTTATACAAGTTAAGTGACTCTAGTATTCTTTTTTATTAGGCAAAAGAGATTTCCATAGCAGACCTCCAGGAGAATTATATTGAGACATTAAATAAATTAGTGTCTGAAAATCAACAACTACAGAGAGATTTGATGGATACCAAATCTAAGCTGGAGATTTCTACTCAGATGTGCAAAAAAAATCATGATGTGCTCTTAAAACCAACACACAGCAGAGCACCTGAGTTCAAGAATACAGAGTTCAAGTAAAATCTCTTCATGGTTTATTTAAAATGTGTATCACTGTAATACAATGCTCATTTCTTTAAGAATGATTTCTGACTTATAGATATTACATCTTCATCAAAAGACTGTTGTTTAATTCTGAAGTCCACTGTCCACAAGTAAAGCTGCCCTCTGGTGAAGAAACGGAGGGCTGCATAGCACACGCTCATTCGGGCTTGTGTGCGAGACGCCCTGGATGTGGGCACAGACAGCATCCTTAGTGCCCTGAGCCTTTCATGCTGCCTGCCACCTCCCAACCCTACTTGCCCCATGACAAGGTGGCTTTCTAGAAAAAGCTTCTTTTGTATTTTTGGTTAGTTAATTATAGCCTGTTACCGTAAGTCGGCATTCACTAGAAAACTACCTGGTTTCAGGTCTTACTACGGGGTTCACCTGTTTTCCTCCCAAAAGCCTTTGCTGAGGCCCTTCACTGCTCTAACCCTCCCCCACCCGCAGAGGAGGGGTGTGGCCCTCCTGTGTGCACAGTACTTCCCCTTATTCCAGCTCCGAGCAGGCGAGAGCCCTCTGGCAGCTTATCTGTCTTCCTCTATTGTAGGTGTGTGAGGGCAGGGGCCCGGAAGTGGGGACTGGATATTTGGAACCTGTGTGAATGAAGGAACACCTGGTCTGAGTGGGCTGCTTATTTTAGCACTTACAGCCTTACTAGTTAGCCTTTCCATTTATTTTTAAGTGAACTTCCTACAACATTTCTGTTTTAAAGAGAAAAATTGCTACAACTGTTATCTGTTTTGTTTCCCAGTCTGCTCTCCAGGCCATCCCATGGCCAGCACAGACGTGGTGGAGGGAAGACTGAGCTCTACAAAACAGGTCTTCCTTCTTCTCCGGGAGGACAAGCGCCGGGCGGCGTAGAGCCCGTGTCCAGGGTCCTCAGCCCCCTGAGTGTTCACATCAGCTCTTGCAGCTCCAGCATCTCTTTGCCTTCCAACTTTCTGTACAAAACTCAGTCTTTGCCTTCAGTGCTAGACCCAAACGAAGCCATTTTTTCTGACTCTATCTCTGAGAGCGTAAATGACCAAGAAGAGTTTATGTCTTCGGTATGGCAACTTTCTGATCTTACTAGCTTATTAAGTTTGTTTAGTTTGATTGTATCTTTTACTTGAAGGGTGAGGAGTGTGATTTGTTTTGTTTTCTTATTGGTTCTCTATTTGAAGTGCCCTTTGTTGTTCTCATGTATTTCTGTCTTAGAGTTTTGCTGATGAAGACACATTAGCCAAGATTACTTCTCATAGTACATCTTTGTTCTGAAATACAGCATAAGTTATAGTGATTTGACTTAACCCTAATGGGAAATTTCCTTCCCTTCCTTTTTAGAGTGGGTCAGTTTTGTATTGGAGTGGTTGGTTCAAGGAATATCTCTGGATGGCGGGACAGTTCTGAGGCCTGGACAGTGAGGAAGAAGAGGGACTGTTGGAGAGGGAAAAGGGAGTGGGTGGAAGTGGAGGAAGGAATTGCATCTGGTTGTAGAAAGTTACCTCAGACTCTACCAGGGCGATATAGTCAGTCCTCGTTGGTCATGGATTCAGTATTTGTGAACCTGCCTCATTGCTTGAAATCCATGTAGCCCCAGTCAGTGCTCAGCTCCACTGCAGCGTTTGTGGACTGGTGTGGAGCTGTGAAAGGTGACTACACTTCCACTCCCAGCTGAGGTGGCTGAGGTGGCTGAGGTGGCTGAGGTGGCGCTGTCCTCTTGTTTCAGCTCTCGTGAGAGGACCACAGGCTGGGGCCAGGAGGGACAGTGCAGTTTAGCAAGGAGCTGGGACCCTGGGGCCCCTTGGCAGAGTTTCAATCCCAGCTATGGCATCCCTCAGCAGGCTGGCCTCGGGCAGGTCACTAAACGCTTCTCAACCTCGTTTTCTCTTTTGTAAAATAAAGCAAATAAAATCTACCAGGATGAGAGGGATTTAGCAGGATACTTGCTGTGACATAGATGTGTGTGCATTTCCCCTGGGGGCAGATTCCCTGTTCACTAATTCGGTGTTTGAGGTGACTTTACGGAAAACCACCACTGCAGAGGAGGAGGGGCTGCATGCGCGTAGGCCTGTGTTGCCCTTCTAGAGCCAGCACTCTCAAATACCACTGCCCCCGCGGGGGGCAGAAAGGGGGCTGGGTGGCAGTTCTGGTGGAGGGAAAGAGTCGATTTCAATGGTGTCTGATATACTATAAGTAGATATTTTGTGTTTTAAAGGGAAAGGAACGTCAGATTTTAAAAGCGAGTTTGAGTAACAGGCAGGAGTGGGTTTTCTTCTGGGTTGTAGAAGGATGCACACGTCTACAACGGGATATACTTTAGGCCAGTGATTATATGGATTTTACAGTTGCACAGCTCGGGTCAGAGAGGAAGAGAGCTGGTGAATTTTCTGCAGAACTTTTTTAAAAAATGTAGTCTTCTCATTAGGTTTATCCTAACAAGAGAAAAATCCCTTCAGAGGAAAAAGTATTTTTTTAAAAAACCACTTTTTAATGTTGCTAGTTAGAAGCTATCATGCATAATGTCTGTTAGAGACTATCCGACTTTGATATGTCAAAATTCGCTTCTCTTCCAGTGTCCCTTTCCTGTGTCTCCCCTTGGTTCCATAGCCACAAGGTTTCTGGAGGAGGAGGAACTCAGGTCTCACCACATCCTGGAGCGCCTGGACGCCCACATCGAGGAACTGAAGAGAGAGAGTGAAAAGACAGTGAAGCAATTCACGGCCCTCAAGTAGCCTCTTAAAAAAAATCACAAGCTTGGAAGTAAAAACAAGCATCGAAGAGTTACTGTCATCTGAAGTAGCGGCAGTGGCTCTTTAAAAACACAAATGTGTAAAAATCATAGAGCTGTTGTGAAGAAAGCTAAAAACTGATACTTCTCTAAAGGCATTTCTACTGCACTGGTCTGTTTGAAGAACTTTTTCCAGCAATAACTTGTAATAAACCACTTTGCTAGACTTTTTCCTCAGTAATATTTATTATCATAAAGGGATAGTTTTTCTTGCTGACTAAAATGAGTTTATGGCATGTTGAAATTAAAGTAACTACAGGAACTTCTTTGAGGGAAGTATGTAGAAGTTGGGGTTCAGAGTCAAACCCAGCTGGCTTGGTGTGTAGGTTTTGCCACTTACTAGCCAGTTGGGCTGGTAATGTGCGAAGTCAAGCAGGGGGTACATAAAGGGGTAAAGAAGTTTGATGAAGGCCTCTCTTGCTCTGGGCACAAGTATAAGACAGAGGTGGAGGGAGCGGGCGGGGGCCGGTTTGAGTGAGTGGTGGAACATGCGACGGGAATGTTGCATTTCTGAGAGGGTCAGTGGGAGACAAAGGTGCCAGCTGCAGGAGGCATTTGAACCCTTGCAGAGTTGGACCCCTCCACCCGATAGGAGAGGGGATGGAGAGAGAAAAGAGCAGAATGCTGTGCCCAGGTCCCTGAAGGATGCCAGCACCTGAGGATCACAGCAGAGGGGACAGCAGAGAGCTGGAATGTGCGACTACAGACAAGAAGGTGACGCGCAGTGTCCTTACCAGCTCAAGGACATGCTCCTGTGCTTCACTCTCCAGTGGCTCTTCCCTGTCAGCATGTAAACATCCTGAGTTCTCCTTTCTCTAAAACCAAACCAAACCTCGGTTCCATATGCCTCTCCATGTCTGCTGCTCCATGTGTTTGCCCCCTTCACCCACATGTCTGCAGTGACTATTTATACTCCCTTCCTTCCCACTCTTCTTAACCCTCTCCAGCTGCACCCCCACCCCCACCATGGAACTGCTGTCATGTTCTCGAGGTCACCAGTGACCTAGTTAGTCCCTGGGCGTTATTTCACCCAGTTGGCCTATCCCCCTTTGTCTCTTGGTTCTGTGACCTGACACCCCTTGTTTTCCTCCTAGCTCACTGGCTACCCCATCTCACTGTAGTTTTCTGGCTTTTCCTCTTCCAACGCTCCCCCCCTCCGCCCCCTGGACTGACGTGGGTTTTCTCACTCAGCACATTTCCCTAGGATATTCCATTTGATTCTCAAGCTTTGAATACAATCTACAGGCCCGTGGCCCCTGCATTCAAAACTAGTCTCGATCTCTTCCCAGAGCTGCTGGCTTAGATACCTGCTTATTGAATATCTTCACTTGAATGTCTGATAAGCAACTCATGTTGAACATTTGCAAGAGAGAACTCTGGATTCTCAAAATATTTCCTGTGAGGACAGTATCCTGTTTGCCAGTGGCTAGAAGTTGTCCTAAATCCCTTCCTTGCCCACACCTCCAAGCCATTGGGAGGTCCTGTCAGTTCTGTCTCCAGAATTCATCTCAGGTCCAACCATTGCTGCCTCTTCTCCACCGCCGTCACCCTGATAGCTAACCCAGTCTCTCAGGTTCTGTCCGGAGCCTCCTGATCACAATAATTCATTCTTCGGAATGAGTTGTCCTTCAGAAATGGAAGTGAACAGTGTCACCCCTACCTCCCTTCAAAGGCTGCAAAGACTTCTTGGTGCACCCGGGATTGGTCCAAACTGCTGCGCAGCCTGCGAGCCTCGCTCCCACCCCATCACCCCACTGTGGCCTCTTTCGCTGTGCTCCAGCCTCCCTGTCCTCCTTCCTGCTTCCCGACTGCAGTTGGCTTTAACCTGTCAGGGTCCTGTGCTGCGGTTTACCTGGAATCCCTTTCTCACCTTGCCTGTGATTGACCTTGGCTCCCCTCTCAGGTCTGCACTCAGGCGTCCAGTCCCTGACTGCTATGTCTAAAACCTGCTTCTCCTTTTCTCTGGCTCATTTGCCCTGAGTTATTTCCTTCAGAGTGCTCACCACTTTGAAATCATATTTTTATTGGATTTATGTTTCTGTTGTTTATTTTTACCTTAGAATTAAGCTTCTTGAGGACAAGGGCATTGCCTGTCTTGTTCAGGGTGGGGTCCTCGTCACCCAGCACAAGCCTCGCACTTGGTTGGTGCTCAGTGGTGCCTGTCCTTTCTCAGATGCACCCCGTTTTTGCTTTGCACCTCTGTACACGCTGTCCTTCAGCTCTGCTTCTTCTTTCCACGTACTTCCTGTGCCCCTCTATCTTGCTGGGGAAAGCTTTCCCATACCTTTTGGCCAGACCCAGGGAGAGTTCCTCCTCCTTTCTCCCGTGTGTGCCCCCAGAGCACTGGCCCATGCTGTGCTGTGCTCTGTGAATTTCGTTTCTCCCACTTCCAACTGAAAACTCCTTAAAGGCAGGGGCCAGCTCCTGCTGGAACCTCAGGCAGCAGCATGCTGCCTAAGACACAGCAAGCACTAAGCAAATGCTGGGTGGATGAAAATCACTCCCGCTCTGGGCTTCCTTGTACTCACCTGGAAAATAGGGATAGTACCTCATGGAGTTAGGAGGATTTACTGAAAATACAGTTCTGACAGGGCTTGGCAGATTCTAAAAATACTGCACCCGGGTATGGGGGGATTTTGGAATTTCAGACTGTCCCAAGCTTCTGCTTAGAATATGTAGGATCCACACCCTGCTCCTGAAATGGTCATAGGGCATGTTGACTAAAAGGCACAGTGATGGACTATGGTCACTGGGAATACCTACAGAATCATGAGGTACGGTGTACGTCCTTAAATTTACACTGTGTTGTTGAAAGTTGAAGTAGCTGACTTAGTGTCTGAGTTTGTCAGGACATTTGATTGTAAGTTAATCTCTCAGCTTCACTTTTAAAAAGATTATGCCCAATATTAAAATGTGTCAAAACTAAATTTGAGTGATTTTCTTCATACACGTTTTAGAAAACCTCTCAGTGATCAGGCACCCACTGAGATGCAAAGGTGAGGGTGTGCAGTCTGCTTTTGGTGCTTCCCAGTAATGTTCCGTTGGGTGAGGTGTCTCTTGGCCCGGATGCCTCCTGAAGTGTTGTCTGGATTTCTGTGCAGATTTAGCTGAAGAGGACAGAGTTGAGTGCCCACTGCGGGATGGACGCCACATTCCCACGGAGCCTCGTTTAATCCCCAGAAATCTAGGATGCAGGGATTCCATCGTCCCCAGGTGAGTGGCCTGCCCAGGCCCCCAGCGCCCAGGCTCGTTCTCAGAGACTGAGGGCAGAGAGCGTGGACTGCATGCAGGCGGGAGGCCCTGTTCCTAACCCCAGCTCTGCCATTTATTAGGTGCATAACCTTGGGTAAGTTCATTAACATCTCCAGGCCTGTTTTCTCATCGGTAAAGTGGGGGAAATAAAAAATCATGCCTATGCTGGCCGGTGTAGCTTAGTTGATTGGGTGCTGTCATCCTACAGACCAGACGTTCGGGGGGATTTGGTTCCAGATCCAGGCATAGGCCAGGGTTGCAGGTTTGTTCTCTGGTTGGGGCACGTGCAGAAGGCAACCATCGGTGTCTCTCACATCCATGTTTCTGTCCCTCTCTTTCTCCCTCCCTCCTCCTCTCTAATACCCCTCTCCCTTCCTCTTCCTCTCTAAAAGATGAAAAAATGTCCTCGGGTGAGGTTAAAACAAACAAGCAAATTAAAAAAAAACATACCCAACTCGAGTTTTTGCGAAGATTAAATTAACACGTGTAAAGTTCTTGGATCCATGCCTGGCCTAGTGCTGTGAAAGTATCTTGTTGAATAGAAAAAATACAACTCTCTGTGTTCCTGTTATGGCTACTTAAGTCCAAAAAATTCTGCCCTCCCTCTCATGCACAGATACATAAACCTGGTAAACTATGGGTGGTGCTTAGCTGTTTGCGAACGCCCTTGAGTCTAGCACCTAAACAGTGCAGGTGAGAAAAATAACTAAAATAAAGCTCTGTCATTGAGAGCATACATCAAGCAAACAGTTGTCGTGAATAGCGTTCAAGTGCAGATCGGCAAGGTTAGAAAAAGAAATGTGCTGACTCTTGTTCCAGAGGCAGTTTGAGATAGCAATACAAAAATGCATCAAAAAGGAACAAATGGTGGCTTCAGGCCAGAGGGGAAATGAGGGCCATAAAGGTTGACTCACAAACCAACATTTAGCCCAGTCCAGCTGCTAGAGGCAGGTTGAAAAATTGCCTTCGAGCTTTTCAGGGCAAAAGCAAAGAAAACATGACGACTTAAAAGCTTTACGGTGCCCCCGAGATGAAAACAGACGTGGGTTCAGGAGCAGCACATCTTTTTTCTTCACTAAATAGGGAATGTGTGCAGCTTCCTGGCCGTGGGCTGCAGTGCCGCGGGCTGATGGCATCGGGCTGACGTGCGGTTTGAAGAGCCAGTTCTGCGAGGGACCCCAGCAGGACGTTGGCAAGCTCTGGTGGCCTGCTCCATCAAAGGGGGAAATTTAGAATGAAGGACTGCAAAGCAATCTTCTTAAAAGCTATTTCTCCACAGTGCAATTTTGATAATTCAAATAACACAGTTCACTCTTTTTTTCTCTCTATGGGAACCCTAAATGTTGGAATTTTATGTTGCCCGTTAAGGCCACATTCAAGGGACTTGACAAGCTGGTCAGAAGTACGTTTATACTATCAGGAAAGGAAAGAACCCAATCAAGGTGATGCCGGAGTGGTCTTAGGTCCAGGAACTGCCTTATATTACGTGCAGTACATAAACCTGCATGTGTGCGTTTATCGGAGGAAGAGTGCCCTCAGTTTTCACCAGACTCTCAGAGTTATCTGTGAGCCAAAAAGATTAAGAACCACAACTTTGAGGACTGGACCTCTGCCAGAATGAGAAAAAACTGCGGGAGGCCAACCAATGCCACTGAAGCTGAGTCTCCAAGTGAAGAGGCGTTGAAGGGGGAGGAGGACGGCGACTGAGGAGGGCACAGGTCTCCTTTCACACTGACGGAAATGTCTAAAGCAGTTGTGGTGGGTGCATAACTCTGAATGTAACACAACTGAAACTGCCCGATCATATGCTTTTAATGGGTGAATTACATGGTATGAAAATTATATCTTAATAAAACTATTATTACCAAAGAAAAAGAAAAAAGACTCTGATGGGTAGTAGCATCTAACAATTCATGCGCATGTTCAGAAAACATCACAGCACATGCTGTTCTAAAACTTCACCTTTTCCGCTTTGACTTTGCATGCAGCGTAAGTGGGGGCTGTCTTTAGAGAGTGGGGTCAGGCTCCTCTGAATAACTGCCGTGGGTTGGGGGGGTTCTGCATGGAGAGATAACTCGGGGAGGGGCTCTGCCTGGCCCGCACATGCAGGGCTCTTGCTTCTCCTCCAAGGGAGTGTGGGTTGGGCTGCCTGTGAGAGGAGCAGTTCCTGAGATTACTGAGGGTGCTGGCAGCAAAGTCCTTAATAATCAGCCAGGCAGAGCTTCTTGGTTAAGCACATTGTATGTAGGGGCGGCAGGAATGCTAGGTATTAATCTCAGAGGTCAGAGGTGGACTGTTCACAGAACATTTTAGAAAGAGTTATAGACCACTGATGGGGAAATGCCAGACTGTGGGACTGTGCCCCAAGACTGCTTGGCAAGTCCCCCACTATCTCTACAAGCATGGCCAGGCAAAAGAGAAGGAGAAGCCAGGTCTTCAGCTGTGAAAAACAGATGAGCTACGACACTACTTTGCCCAGTGCTCTCACGGAACAGCGTGCCGTTAGGAGGCAGCCAGTGTGGACACACTCAATGCTGGTTCCCAGTGCTGTCCTGTGCCTTGGATTTGTCTTGCCTCCGATGTACAGCATAAAGTAAAACAACTCACCAGTCCCTGGATCCTTCTGCAATCTAGAAAATGTGTCTCAGTTCCTCAGCCTAAAAGTAAATGCCAGGAACAAAGCAAGGACCCATTAATCTCTTCAGCCATGACTGAGCATACATAGCCTTTGCTCCTAGCAGGAGCAGGTATCCAAAGGTGCAGGTCCCCATGTAACCTGGTAGTAAGCGGTGGCTGGGGCAGAAGCCCAGTCGCTCCCCCAGGGATCCCCCTCCTGGATGCGAGGCCCATCAGCCCTTTGGGAAACCCTAGCAGCAGCCTCTTCATATTAGTATGTGCTGGACTGTGCAAAGAATGGGAAAAGTTCTAGATGGCTGAGAGCTTCAACCTGCCAGTTTCTGCACGAGCTAACGTGTCAACGAAGGAGGCATCACATGATCTCTCTATTTTGCTTCAAAAAGGTTTAACACGAACACATTTTTAACAACATTAAGCAATTTTAGTATCTTCTCAGGCTAATCATTTCTTAAATTTACATTTCTCAAACTGTCTTCCAGGGATCTGAATTTTTTTAACGTGTTAATATATTCCTTAGAAAGAAATGTGCCAAAGCAGAATGGGAAGCACTGCGTGTTATAGCCTGAGGGCCAGGTTGGAACTCAGAGCCCTGCCTCCCCTCCTCTGGGCCAGACCCTCCATCTCTCTCCCTGATGGCCTCCTCTATTGATTGCTTCCCAAATCATTGGGAGCTGGTGGCCTTAGGTACTCAAAGTTCTTAACCTTCTGTGTGTCAGGGTACTTCTTTGGTTGAGCCTCTGGGTCCCTCAGAATAATGACTAAGTGCATAAAATAAAATAATGTTAAAATGAAAACCAATTATATTTTCATTCAGTTATCAAAACCTAAGGAAAAAAACCAAATTTGTGATACAATATGTGCCTTTTATTAACTCATTAAATAACAAGATGGAGCAGCAGGTCTATCTCCTGCTATGCTCTTGAAGCAGGGATGCATGAAAGTAATATTTTGAGATGTCTGCAACACTGTAATGAAATATGAAAATATCCGTGATTTCCCTTGGAAGAAAGCCCCAGGTGCTGCTAGCACTGCGGTGGGTTATGGCTAGATTCCTAATGGAATAAAAGCTCAATTTCGGTGAGAGCTTGTTGAGAGTAAGGATGTCAGTATTTCCTATCCAATTCATGGAGTCCTAACTTCTGTCCTTGGTAGTGAGTCTGTGGACTCCAGGTTAAGAATTTAGAGGCTTTGAGCTTACGTACGATTTACTTCGTGTCTGGTTGATCTGGTTCTCTGTGAGCTTTCACTTATGTAGCAGGGGCAGTGCTTGTGCTTCGTGAAGAAGTTAGTCTTTAAATGGGTATGACCGCAAACTGACTTACACACTTATTTGTGGCATACCTCTGGACAACCGGGAGAACTAGTGCTGGACATTAGACAAGTAGAGCCTTCCACCTGTGTTATTGGGGGATCTTGGGGCAGCCAGGTCAAGCCAGGGATGATTGGAACTTCTAGCCTGGGGATCCACAGAGGAAAGCTGGGTTTACCTAAGCAACCATTTCAATCCCAATGAATGACATATGGCATCTCGGGCTTGCTTCGTGTGACCAAGGAGGAGCTGGACCTCTTGTACATCTCATCTGACAAAGCAGAGGGTGCCACTGTCCACTGTGGACAATGGGCATGGAGGCACCCACAGCCCACCCACTGGAGGAGCTGGTGCTCTGTGCATCAAAGGGGAATTTTGCAGCCTAAGTGCAGCCACCTGGGGACTGTGGGGCAAGGGACAGGTGGGTGCCGGTTGGTGTCAGGAGTCCAGGTGGACTTCCTGTGGGTGCATCTCTAGGCAGCAGTCCAAATCTCTGTTTTTACAAAATAATCCAATGGTCTGAATCTTCCTGGGATCTCAACTCATGCACGTTGAACCCTTGGCCTGAATATCAGTACTACAGACAAAGGACAGACTGTTCCCCGGCCATGGTCAGATAATCACAGCTGCCTGGCTGTCGCTCACCCCAAACCAGCCACAGGGCGACTGCTCCAGTGAAAGCAAGTTCCCCCATTAGTGTTCTGCCTTATTTAACACTAGATCTCAGAATGTTTGCT